CCCCCCTACTGCCCCCTACCGGCCCTCACTGCCCCCTACTGCCCCCCTACTGCCCCCTACCGGCCCTCACTGCCCCCTACTGGCCCCTACTGCCCCCTACCGGCCCTCACTGCCCCCTACTGCCCCCTACTGGCCCCTACTGCCCCCTACTGGCCCTCACTGCCCCCTACTGGCCCCTACTGCCCCCTACTGGCCCCCACTGCCCCCCTACTGGCCCTCACTGCCCCCTACTGGCCCCTACTGCCCCCCTACCGGCCCTCACTGCCCCCTACCGGCCCTCACTGCCCCCTACCGGCCCCTACTGCCCCCTACCGGCCCTCATTGCCCCCTACCGGCCCTCACTGCCCCCTACCGGCCCCTACTGCCCCCTACCGGCCCTCACTGCCCCCCTACCGGCCCCTACTGGCCCCTACTGGCCCTCACTGCCCCCCTACCCTACGGCCCTCACTGCCCCCTACTGGCCCTCACTGCCCCCTACTGCCCCCTACTGGCCCTCACTGCCCCCTACTGGCCCCCTACTGGCCCCCTACTGCCCCCTACTAGCCCTCACTGCCCCCCTACTGGCCCCTACTGCCCCCTACTGGCCCTCACTGCCCCCTACTGGCCCCTACTGCCCCCTACTGGCCCCCACTGCCCCCTACTGGCCCTCACTGCCCCCTACTGGCCCCTACTGCCCCCTACCGGCCCTCACTGCCCCCTACCGGCCCTCACTGCCCCCCTACCGGCCCCTACTGCCCCCTACCGGCCCTCATTGCCCCCTACCGGCCCTCACTGCCCCCTACCGGCCCCTACTGCCCCCTACCGGCCCCTACTGCCCCCTACCGGCCCTCACTGCCCCCCTACCGGCCCTCACTGCCCCCTACCGGCCCTCACTGCCCCCTACCGGCCCCTACTGGCCCCTACTGGCCCTCACTGCCCCCTACCGGCCCTCACTGCCCCCTACTGGCCCTCACTGCCCCCTACTAGCCCTCACTGCCCCCTACTGCCCCCTACTGGCCCTCACTGCCCCCACTGAGCTCAGTGTTGATGCTGGGAATGATTTCAGTCTGAACTCAGGCAATATAATAATTAATGGATCTGACTGCACTCAGAGGTCTATTAATGGCCGCCGCTGCTTCCTCCCCCCCGTCCTCCTCTTCCTGTGGGAGTGGACTCAGCTGACCCTGATCACCACTAATGATCTGTGATCTGAGATGTTTATGACAGACGCTGATGTGAGGACTTTCTTGGCTTACTTGTGCATGTGTTCCACTCCGGTCAGGATCATGATGCCGTAGGTGAGTCCACTCTGAACCAGGAAGTGAAGGGCGTACCTGGAAAACAAAATACACTGGAGATTCCCCTTCCAACAACGAACTGCTGACAGACTCTGAGCTCGAGGCAGCAGCGCTCCCGGAGGTCTAACGGTACCGGAGCTGTAAGCATCAGTCCGGGCAGAGTCATTGTAATCTCTGATCTTTAAAGGGATGGATCACCACCTCTGTTATGGTGGAAAGTAAAATGGCCGCCACAAAGTGTTTTTGTGGTTGTTGTTTTCATTTATTTGATCTGGTTTATCATTATGTATTATTTCACACTGACTGACTACAGGTGGAAATTAGCCTTCTGGCTAACTCAGTATTTATTGATATCCACTGTCCCTGAACTGTACAACCGAGTTTCATGCTCAAATAAAAACTAATTCTCATAAATCACCTGGGCTGCTACAATGCTAACAGCGAGCTAACGTCTGTTTATTGAACATTTAATGTTGTAAATTATTAAACAATAAACTGCTAAATGTTGAATCATGTAAACAAGCTACACAAGCTAACGTTAGCAATCCACACTTACAATCTACCATCAAATAAAATTAACTTAATGAATTGTAATTTTCTTCTTCGCTGTTAAACACTCAGAGACCGTTGAGGAGCGTCTCACCAGCCGAAGCAGAAGAGAGCGAAGTACAGTCCCAGTAAAGTGGCCACCACGTGTCTGATGAAGGGACTGGTCTTACTGGGATGAAGGAAGAGACGAAACCAGAAGGCCGACAGCAAAGCACAGAGCTGACACACCACAAAGTTCACCTGCAGACAGAACAGAGGGAGAAATCACACCTGAGGGTCCTCACAGTGCTGCAGCTCAGCTCATGTGACCAGTAGTGTTAGCAGTAGCAATATTAGCAGGGTTAGCAGTGTTAGCGGTAAAGTTAGCGGTGATGGTGGTCATTCAGTGTCAGCAGGTTCCTTACAGAGTACAGTCCTATATATATATATATATATATATATATACACAGCAGAGGTGGGAGTAAGTCACACATGTGCAAGTCTCAAGCAAGTCCGAGTCATTTTTGAGAGAGTCGAGTCGAGTCATAGAAATATAATAAGCTGGATGACAACTGTCTTAAAGTGCTGGACTTTTATTTGCAACAAATATTTCAGTGTAATATCCAATTCCTGACATTACTGCTGTGTACTGATTTAATATCCTACACACAATTATTATTGATATCGTCGCTGTTAGCAGAAACCTCTTATTGGCTAATGTAACTTTTGATTTACTGGTGACCCTTCAAGTGTTATAAGAGGAGAGATATTCCCTTGGGGAACAAGCTGTGCGTAAAATGTGTGTATGTGTGTAAAGTGTGAGTGGACGAGCGAGAGTGAGCGAGCGAGAGAAAGAGAGTGTGTGCGTGCGGATGCAGGAGTGAAATAAAGACCACGCTATCTCAATGTCAACCTGGAGCTCCCGTGTCTGTGTTTATAATTTTGGGAACAGCTGCTGTGTAACCAGCTCCTTCCAGGTCCATCGTCCAGTGCTCCGCTCCGGCCTCTACAACCGCTGCAGTCAGTGATGGTGCGTCACTTGGTTAGATTACAGGTTGCCAGGTTCGCCCACATGCAACAGGAAACATCCGATCAAAATATATATATATATTTTTGATAATTCACATATTAATAAAGGCAGCAGTGACTTGTCGAGTCATTTCATGCAAGTCTAAGTCAAGTCTCAAGTCCTGATTAGCAAGTCAAAGTCAAGTCAAGTCTTTTATCACTGTTAATCAAGCAAGTCTGGCGACTTCTCAGAATCAGAAATACTTTAATAATCCCAGGGGGAAATTACTTTTGTTACAACTCCAAATCTACGTGCAACATATTTACATACAACATATAATCATAATTAAGAACATATCTCTATATAAATATATATATTAATATATCTATATTGAGCTGCAATCATGGGAAAGACAAAAAAGCTTCCACATAGCTGAGAGAGGAGATTATTCCATCACACCTGAAGGGCCTTGGGTATAAGAAGTTTTCCAAATAATGTAATATTCCAAGAGACACCATTGGGAGCATTATAAGGAAGTTTAAAACTTATGGAACAGCTGCAAACCTGCCTGGCTGTGGAAGAAAGCCCAACATTTCATCAAGGGCCCTTAGCAACTGAGTCAGAACAACTCAGAGAAACCCCCGTGTGATTGCGAGACACCTACAGGATGACCTGATGACGGCTGGTCCAAGTGCTTCAGTGGCAACTTTAAGACGTGCACTGAATAAACAATGACTTCATGGCCGGACTCCAAGACCCTCTCTTGACCACAAGGAACATCAAACATCAACTAGAATATACCAGCAGGAATTTGGACCACCGAGTTTACAGAGACAGTTCTATGGACTGATGAAACCACACTGGAGCTGTTTGGACATTTGGACCAGCGGTATGTCTGGCGTGTGAAAGGCCAGGCTTATGACCAGAACAATACCATCCCCACGGTTAAACATGGAGGTGGGTCATTGATGATGTGGGGCTGTTTATCTGCGGCAGGAAGTGGCAATCTTGATCATGTACCTCCATGTACATCATGGATTCCCAGAAATACCTGTCCATTTTAAAGAGGAACGTAATGCCTTCTGTTGACAAATTAAACCTTGGTGATCAGTGGACTTTCCAATAAGACAATGATCTCAGGCACACCTCCAAGTCAACCAAAGCTTGGTTGAGAACAAGATCCTGGAACGTCCGAGAGTGGCCTCAGTCACCAGATTTAAAATCTCTGGTGGGATTCAAAGAAGGCAGTTTCTGTATTGAGCTCGAGACTTTTGCACGTGGAGAATGGACAAAGATTCCGATCGAGAGTCGTAAGAAGCTCATCAGCACTTACCAAAAACAATTGTTAGAAGTTCTAAAAGCTGAAGGATGATCCACAAAGTACTGAAGCTGGGGGTTGAATAATACTGTACGTGTGTCAAAGAGTTACATTCTTCATTTGAACTTCAGTTAAATCAACAATCAGTAACTCAAATATATATCAAATATTTGTTGTTATTCTACTTCGTTTAAGAATGCTTGATTCTGATTGGCTGGGAGGAAGAAATTAACTTAAAAATGCATATTGCCCGCTGACTGAGCCCAGCGTCATCAAATAGTAGATCAATACGCCGCTTGTATTTTTTATCACATACATTTCAAACATGAGGTCCATTGTACAAATACACCTTGTTTTAAAAAATGTCTAAAATGTGTCGGAAATCTATCGCAGGGTCAGTCGATACATAGTTTTGCAAGCGAGATACAATGTAGCAACTAACGTTACGTTATTAAACTAACATTAGTGATCGGATGCAGCCTTGTGTGGTTGCTATAGAAACTAATTAGCTACAGCTGATCTAACGTTATTCACCGTAGTTCTAAAGGGGACTACTTTTTGAGGGAGATGAACTCAGAGTATACATTTAATAAGCATACAATACGAATAAGAAACAGCATTATTATTATTATTATATTAAGTATTTGAATTGTTTTATTAAGTTGGCAAGCAAGAAGTAGAATAAACGGGATAATAACCTCAAGGCAGGGCAATAAACAGCTTGATATGGCCGGTGCGTGGACGGCTTACGTCTCGGGCGGTAACCTTCCACGAGCCGGGCATATCAAACTGTTTATTGCCCTGCCTTGGGGTGATTATCCCTTACTTGTTTAATGAGGTTTTTTCTCATTTATTGTCATTATCTTTCATCCACATCACTATAATGTCTTGTCCTGAGGTGAGGGGGTTGAATATTTCTGATTGCAACTGTATATATACAGTTTTTATATACAGTATATACTGTATGTGTCTTTCAGGTTATTAATATAATGAACAGAATTAACGTCAGCAGTAGTTTGTCTGTGCAGGTTTTCGCAGCAGTGATGAAAAATGGAAGTGATTAATATTTTAATTATTATTATTATTATTATGATCAGAGGTCGCGGAGATAAAAGGAGACGATGAAGACTGAAGAGAAGGCGACCTCCAGCGTAATGAACAACAGGAAAGATGGATGACAAGAGGAGTTTATTATTACTCAGAGTGTTTGTGGAGGACAAACGTCTTCTTCTTATCAAACTCAATTATTCATGTTCACAGTCCTCTGATGTGCGTATTGATCTTTGTTTCTTAACAGCTGATTGATGCTCACTATCTTTAACACTGCAGGAAATATACCACAGTGACTGCTGGAGGAAGTGCAGTGTCACAGCGCACGTTAATTAGTCAGTTACCACCTAGCTCGCTCTCTGTTGCTGCTACAGTACATTTATATACACTCCACCTTTCATTTCATCACGACTTTTGTTCCTGGAAATAGTCTGGTCCCAAATAGCTAACTAGCCTGGATCCACATTCTCGCAGTGGACAGTGAACGTCTCACAGTGGACAGAGGACGATGAACGTCTCACAGTGGACAGAGGACGATGAACGTCTCGCAGTGGTCAGTGAACGTCTCGCAGTGGACAGAGGACGGTGAACGTCTCGCAGTGGACAGTGAAGGTCTCGCAGTGGTCAGTGAACGTCTCGCAGTGGTCAGTGAAGGTCTCTCAGTGGTCAGTGAATGTCTCGCAGTGGTCAGTGAAGGTCTCTCAGTGGTCAGTGAATGTCTCGCAGTGAACGTCCAGCAGTGGACAGTGGACGTCTCATAGTGGACAGAGGACGGTGAACGTCTCGCAGTGGACAGTGAAGGTCTCGCAGTGGTCAGTGAAGGTCTCGCAGTGGACAGTGAACGACTCGCAGTGGACAGTAAAAGTCTCGCCGTGGACAGTAAACGTCTCGCAGTGGACAGAGGACGGTGAACGTCTCGCAGTGGTCAGTGAAAGTCTCGCAGTGGACAGTGGAGGTCTCGCAGTGGTCAGTGAAGGTCTCGCAGTGGACAGTAAACGTCTCGCAGCGGACAGTCAAGGTCTCGCAGTGGTCAGTGAAGGTCTCGCAGTGGTCAGTGAAGGTCTCGCAGTGGACAGTAAACGTCTCGCAGTGGTCAGTGAAAGTCTCGCAGTGGACAGTGGAGGTCTCGCAGTGGTCAGTGAAGGTCTCGCAGTGGACAGTGGAGGTCTCGCCGTGGACAGTAAACGTCTCGCAGCGGACAGTGAAAGTCTCGCAGTGGACAGTGGAGGTCTCGCAGTGGTCAGTGAAGGTCTCGCAGTGGACAGTGGAGGTCTCGCCGTGGACAGTAAACGTCTCGCAGTGGTCAGTGAAAGTCTCGCAGTGGACAGTGGAGGTCTCGCAGTGGTCAGTGAAGGTCTCGCAGTGGACAGTGAAGGTCTCGCAGCGGACAGTGGAGGTCTCGCAGTGGACAGTAAACGTCTCGCAGTGGACAGTGAAGGTCTCGCAGTGGACAGTGAACGACTCGCCGTGGACAGTAAACGTCTCGCAGCGGACAGTCAAGGTCTCGCAGTGGTCAGTGAAGGTCTCGCAGTGGACAGTAAACGTCTCGCAGTGGTCAGTAAACGTCTCGCAGTGGTCAGTCACCATTAACACAGTAACAAGCCATAATTTTAGAAATGTATTAACAGAATTAAACTTAAATTTGACAGTTTAATCAGTATTTTATGATTATTTACAGTTACAGATTTTTCATGTTATTTTACATTAGATGTAAATTCACAGGATATTTGTGTAATTTTATTAATATTTCCATGTATTTAAAAATACAGAGGAAATCTGTAAAATAAACAGATTTGTTTCCTGTTATTTGGCCCAGAGTTTGTGCTGTCAGGCAGTGTGCTGTTGGACGGTGTCTGGCTGTCTGTCAGACGCTGTGTTGTGTTTCAGTCTGACGGCAGCTGACACCGCTGAGCGACTGTGAGCGTAACATCTGATCCGCCTGTGGACAGAAACCGGCGACGCTTGTTGATGTGTCGTTCATTAATAATGAACGCCGTGTAAACTGAGCGATTACAGCCGGACGCTCTGAGGAGAACAACCACTGCCGCTGGTTCCTCCTGCGTCCACCGCCGGCCTTCGTTAAATAACAGACGACACGCTCGCTGTTAGTTAGAAACTGAGCTGTGACTAACGAGGTCAGGGCCGGACGATGGAGGACAAACACACATTATTGTTAATATTATTATTAACATTAATATTATGCTCTTTTTAAGTTGTTCTTGTGTCAGTAATGGACACATTCAACCAACAATCCTCCATGTTGGATTGAAAACTGGCAGTTTTTATGAGTTCAAAACAATCAGCAACCTCTGTGTCTGCAGTTCCTCTACCGGCCACCAGAGGCTCCCGCAGTGAGTCACACTCATTATTAACCTGAATAAACTCGTGCTAACGTCAGTTTACAGAATATAAAAGAGATTCCTCAGGTAACTCGATGAGCTTCGTGTAATCCACTCGTAGAGAGCACAGAGGAGCTCCACGGCTCTGGATCATAGTCCAGCTCCGCGGCTCTGGATCACAGTCCAGCTCCGCGGTTCTGGATCACAGTCCAGCTCCACGGCTCTGGATCACAGTCCAGCTCCGCGGTTCTGGATCACAGTCCAGCTCCGCGGTTCTGGATCACAGTCCAGCTCCACGGTTCTGGATCATAGTCCAGCTCCGCGGTTCTGGATCATATTTCTGACACTATTTTAATGTCTTTAGCCACTAACAAGTAGCTGCCCACAGTGCGCGAGTGGTTGTCAGTTACAGACAATATAATCACTGAATATCAGTAATGTTCAGTTTGGTGTTTGTATGTTTTGATAATGAAACCGAGCCCTTTACGTTCTTTAAAGGAATCTGTGCTGCTGATGAAGCATGTTTGTTATTGTTTGTGTGTGTTATAACTGTATAATAATAATAATAATATAACTGTGTAATAATAATAATAATATAACTGTGTAATAATAATAATATAACTGTGTAATAATAATAATAATATAACTGTGTAATAATAATAATATATTATGTATAATAATAATAATAAATAATAATAATATATTAAGTGTAATAATAATAATAATAATAATAATAATAATATAACTTAATAATAATAAACTTTAATAATAATAATAATACAAAAATAATAATAATACAATAATATTAATATACTTTATAATAATAATAATAATAATAATAATAATATAACTGTGTAATAATAATAATATATTATGTATAATAATAATAATATAACTTTAATAATAATAATAATAATATATTATGTGTAATAATAATAATATAACTGTGTAATAATAATAATAATAATAATAATAATATAACTGTGTAATAATAATAATAATAATAATAATAATAATATATTAAGTGTAATAATAATAATAATAATAATAATAATAATAATAATAATATAACTGTGTAATAATAATAATAATAATAATAATATATTAAATGTAATAATAATAATATATTAAGTGTAATAATAATAATATATTAAGTGTAATAATAATAATAATAATAATAATAATAATAATAATATATTAAGTGTAATAATAATAATATATTAAGTGTAATAATAATAATAATAATAATAATAATATATTAAGTGTAATAATAATAATATATTAAGTGTAATAATAATAATAATAATAATAATAATAATAATAATATATAAGTGTAATAATAATAATAATAATAATAATAATAATAATATATTAAGTGTAATAATAATAATATATTAAGTGTAATAATAATAATATATTAAGTGTAATAATAATAATAATAATAATAATAATAATAATATATTAAGTGTAATAATAATAATAATAATAATAATAATATATTAAGTGTAATAATAATAATATATTAAGTGTAATAATAATAATAATAATAATAATAATAATAATATATTAAGTGTAATAAAGTGTTTCTGATACGATTACTGGAGGAAATAATAATTAGTTGATATAATTAATATGCTGTGTGGCTAACTGACGAAGCTAACGTTAGCATGCTAATATCTGAGCTGAAAGTTAAATAAATTCTGTTTATTATTGTTTAAATCACATTTCACTAAAAATACCTGAAATTACCAACGCTGTGTGAATGAGTGAATAACGTCCGTTAGCTTAGCATATTCAGTCACTTCCTGTTTACACAGCTGGCTGCTCCTGATTGGACGGCGCTACAGATGTTTCCTAGCAACAGATTTACACATTAAAGTCTAAACATTGTGAAGCTTTAATGTTTGAACTACAGAGTTCTGCTTCCTGGCTCTCAGCCAATCAGAGCAGAGGAGCTACCTGATACATCACCTGCTGATCTGTGAGTTTATCGATCATTTCTTACTTCCTTTTATTGATCTGATTTTTATTCTATTTAGTGAATTTGATCAGTTTTAATAGTGACAGGTGAATGTGGGCGGAGCTTAAGATTAAAACGTGAATAATGATCCCAGAATGAAATGTGATGGTATTATTGATCCTGTGGTGAAATATTACAGTGATATTGATCCACTGAGTCCACATATGATCAGATATTGGAGCTCAATAAACACAATCAGTTTATATAATGAATGCTATCTCCATTATGGGGCCTATAAATATAATCAATCAGAGATTAAATGCAATCACACTGAACATCCGGTGTGAGAGCATAAAGACTCCACCGAGCCCCCATCATCAACATGGACCCGGATCAGTGAAGACCTGGACCGATACGAGGCCTCCATCCATTTTGGACCAACCACCGCCTCTCTGTGAGCCTCCTCCGCCCGCTCTCCTCCTCCCTCTCCCCGGCTCTGTGCTGCTCTCTCCGGCCGAGCATGTCGCATTTACCGCGGTGTGTGAACCACCGGCAGCCGGCGGTCTCCGCCCCGGAGCCCGGAGCCCGGAGCCCCGGAGCCCGGAGCCCCGGAGGCTGGTGCGGGTCTTACCTGGTCCAGCGGCAGGTTGGTGATCTCGCTGACCGGCTGCAGGAGGCTGGAGCCGGTGCAGGCCGTGGATCGGCTCTCTTCAGCGGCCATGGCTCCGTGTGTGCGGCCGGGTCTGCTGCTTCTGTGTCCGGCTGCAGCGGCTCAGAGGCGGCGGCGGAGGCTCCGTGATCCGCCGACTGTCTGTCTCTCTGTCTGTCTGCCTGCCTGTCTGTGTGTCTGTCTGTGTGTGTGTCTGTGTGTCCTGCTGCTGATGATGCTCCTTCCTCCTCTTCTTCCTGTTCCTCCTCCTCCTCCTCCTCCTCAGTCTGTCTGTCTCCCCCCTCCTCCCTTTCATGCCCCCTCTTTCTTCACCCCCTCACATCCATCTCTGCTCCTCCTCCCTCTTTATTCTTTTATTCTTCCTCCTTCTCCTCTACCTCCATCCTCTGTTTCTATTCTTCTACCACTGTTTCTCCTCCTCTTCCTCCCTTCAGTATGTAGTGTTTTTACTCCTGATGGATGAGGAGACAATGGGCCCCTCACAGACACTGAGGCCCCCCACCATTAATACATAATCCATTTCTCTCCCTCTGTCCTCCTGCTCCTCCCTCTTTTACTCTCACTTTCTAATCCCTCCTCTTCCTCCTCCTCTCCCTCCTCTCCCTCCTCTATGGAAGCTCATTCAGATTCTGTAAGTTAATAAAATGACAAACTTTCTCCAATAAACACATTTTATCTTCTGTTTCTTCTTTTAGTCCTTTAATCAACAAACTGCTGGTTTGTTTGTTGTTTTTCTATTTGTTTGTTGTCGTGGTTGTTTATATTTGTCTGTGGTATTTGTTTGTGTTTACATATTGAAGCATTGTTTTATCCCAATAAAAACAAAACAAATCAAACTGTAAAAAAAGAGAAAATAATAATAATATAATTTTAAAAATTCACTAAATGAAGTTTGAAGGTTTTTCAGATTTCCTGTTGAAATAATTTTTATTTTCTTTTGTAGAAAACTTCAAACAGTGAACTTTTATTATTTGTGTGTTTGAAAGTTAAATGAAAATCCTTCAATTAAATTATCAATCAAAATATATAGAATTATTAAATACAGATGTTTTAGAGATTCAAGTTTTCCTAAAGAAATATAAATTATTGTTGAAGAGTTTGATTTTAATTCTGAAGGTTTTTTTTTTTTTACAATTCCGGTTAAAAAAACTTTAACAAAAGTAGATTTTATATATATATATTTTTTTTTAATTCATCAGTTGGAAAACAAACAAAGAGCCCAGGTGCATGCTGGTCCTTCACAGAACAACAAAGAAATATTAACTTTGTGTCTGTTTCCAAATAATTTCTACACATTTCCTGCAATCACTTCTCATTAATTAATTAATTAACTCTTAATGAAAGCCAGACGTCACCTGAACACACAGAGACACATTCCTGTCATTCATTTATGTTTGTTAGGCTTTAAAATTTGCTTTTATATGAAAGAATTTCCCCTATAATTAGTTCCATTTTACATAATGTTGCTCAGGAAATAATTTTGGCTAAAATAAATAAATAATATAAATAAATGTAAAAATAAACTAATGTTTACAGTATCTGAATATTTCAGGCTCAGTGCCAGAAGAGAAGATATATTTAATATTACCAACAGTCAGATTAAACTGCTTCCTGTCAACAGTTCTGTTGGTCTGTTTCATATTTAAATTTTATTCTTTTATTCTAATTTTATAGTTTTACTAAATAAAGCACACATCCAAATAAAATGCTCACTAGAAGTAAAAAAAGTAAATGAACAGACAATATTATTATATTATTAATTATAATATTTATAATAATTAAATAATGAAAAACAACAAACATTTAGTTGTTGTGTTGTTTCCAGGACTGCGCTCTCAGTCCGCCCTGCAGGGGGCGCCCCTCAGTCCTCCAGCGCTGTGTCAGCGGACATTCAAACCGTAGAAGAAGAAGGGACTTCCGTGTTTTGGTTGGTTGTCCTGACAGCGGTTAGCTTCAGTTAGCTTCAGTTAGCTTCAGTTAGCTCCAGATAAACATGTCGGCCACTGAAGACGACACCGAGCTGCGGGACCTGCTGATCCAGAACCTGGAGAACAACGGAGTCCTCAACAAGCTCAAGGTCCCGAACTTTAAATCGATCAGTACCGATATCGATCCGGACCGGCTGCTAGCAGTGCTATGCTAACGTTAGCTCAGCAGTGGAAGCAGTCGGTTAAACTAGAACCGGATCCTTCTAGCAGAACCAGAACCAGAACCAGAACCCGTCTACGGATCTTATCTATCATCTTCTATCAGAACTTTATTTTCCCGCCGGTGCCGCTTCGAACCGGATGATGTAATATAGCCGGTAGCTAGCTGTGCTAACCGGCTAATGGAGTTATTATTATTATTATATATAATTATATTATATATATATAATATTATATAATAATTATATAAATTATTATTATATATAATTATTATTATATATAATAATTATATAATATTATATATTATTATATATTATTATATTATATATAATATATAATAATATATAATTATTATTATATATAATAATTATATATAATAATAATTATTATATATAATAATAATTATTATTATATATAATTATTATATATAATAATAATAATTATTATATATAATTATTATTATATATAATAATTATATATAAATATAATATAATTATATATTATTATATATATTATTATATTATTATTATTATATAATAATTATATATATAATAATATAAATAATATAATAATATATAATATAATATTATATTATATATTATTATATATATATAATAATATATAATATAATATTATATTATATATAAATATAATTATATATATATATATATATATATATACAATATAAATATATATAATTATATTGTATATAAAATAATATATTTATATATAATTATATGTAAATATATATAATAATTATATACTCAGCTGTCACACTGGGGAACCCCACTCGGAACCAGAACCAGTTCTCCTTCAGAACCTCCCCACTTCATGTGTATGTGTAACACACACTGATTGATTATTGATCAGCAGTGATCAATAATCGCCTGAGAGTGCAGAGGTCACATCCTGTTCTACAGCAGCACACAATGATACATTCAGTCTGCTTTATACTTTTATTTCACTTGATAGGCTCCTTCACAATAAAAGCCTCTCTCTGCTGGAGCTTATAGACATCCCATAATGTCTGTGTGTGTTTGCTCCTGCAGGCAGAGATGAGGGCTGCAGTCTTCTTGGCGATGGAGGAGCAGGACCGACTGGAGGTAACCCCAGACCCTGTCACTGGTTCCTCTGGTTCCTCTGGTTCCACTGGTTCCACTGGTTCCTCTGGTTCCACTGGTTCCTCTGGTTCCTCTGGTTTCACTGGTTCCACTGGTTTCACTGGTTCCACTGGTTCCTCTGATTCCACTGGTTCCTCTGGTTTCACTGGTTCCACTGGTTCCACTGGTTCCTCTGGTTTCACTGGTTCCACTGGTTTCACTGGTTCCTCTGATTCCACTGGTTCCTCTGGTTTCACTGGTTCCACTGGTTCCACTGGTTCCTCTGGTTCCTCTGGTTTCACTGGTTCCACTGGTTCCTCTGATTCCACTGGTTCCTCTGGTTTCGCTGGTTCCACTGGTTCCTCTGGTTCCTCTGGTTCCACTGGTTCCTCTGGTTCCTCTGGTTTCGCTGGTTCCACTGGTTCCTCTGGTTCCTCTGGTTCCTCTGGTTTCGCTGGTTCCACTGGTTCCTCTGGTTCCTCTGGTTCCTCTGGTTTCGCTGGTTCCTCTGGTTCCTCTGGTTCCACTGGTTCCTCTGGTTCCTCTGGTTCCACTGGTTTCACTGGTTTCACTGGTTCCACTGGTTCCTCTGATTCCACTGGTTCCTCTGGTTTCACTGGTTCCACTGGTTCCACTGGTTCCACTGGTTCCTCTGGTTCCACTGGTTTCACTGGTTCCACTGGTTCCTCTGATTCCACTGGTTCCTCTGGTTTCACTGGTTCCACTGGTTCCACTGGTTCCTCTGGTTCCTCTGGTTTCACTGGTTCCACTGGTTCCTCTGATTCCACTGGTTCCTCTGGTTTCGCTGGTTCCACTGGTTCCTCTGATTCCTCTGGTTCCACTGGTTCCTCTGGTTTCGCTGGTTCCACTGGTTCCTCTGGTTCCTCTGGTTTCGCTGGTTCCACTGGTTCCTCTGGTTCCTCTGATTCCTCTGGTTCCTCTGGTTCCACTGGTTCCTCTGGTTCCTCTGGTTCCACTGGTTTGGCTGGTTCCTCTGGTTCCTCTGGAGCTGACTCTGTTCTCTGTTTCAGAATAAAAGTCCTCTGGTCAATGAAAACCTGAAGAAATGTCTCAACACGAAAGACGGTCAGTTCATCCTGATTGTTATTGACCTGTACTGTCAGCTGCCACCAGGGGGGGGTAGAGAGCCACACACACACACACACACACACACACACACACACACACACACACACACACACACACACACACACACAGAAGACAGACAGACAGACAGACAGACAGACAGACAGACAGACACAGAATTGTATTAATTGCTTTCAGATTCTGAAGGGGGGGAAGCTGCTTTCTTCAACAAATAACTTAATTAAAGAATATTTAAGTTCCAGAGGTAAAATAATGTTTCTATCTATAATGTACTAATGTTAACTAATATAACTTTATATACTGTAGTTTAATAATACCACAATATCATCATCAGACTCTGTTTACTCTGTGCTGTGCTGGTTAAACTTTATACATTATAGACACATATCAGAAATCAATATGTCTGCAATAGACCAATGTATCGGTCGGGTTAATATAAAATACGTCTGTATTAATACATAAGTATAATAAACTATAATACTCTTTCTTATTAATACTGCAGTGATAATATAAACTGTAGAGTTTGTCATTTATTATTAGGTTCCAGTATTTACTCATTACACTGCTGTTATACATATCTATCTATATATGATATCTTATAGTCTATATACTATAGTTTAATGTACATATTATTTACACTGTAGTTTAATGTACATATTATTTATACTATAGTTTAATGTACATATTATTTACACTATAGTTTAATGTACATATTATTTACACTGTAGTTTAATGTACATATTATTTATATTATAGTTTAATGTACATATTATTTATACTATAGTTTAATGTACATATTATTTACACTGTAGTTTAATGTACATATTATTTATACTATAGTTTAATGTACATATTATTTACACTGTAGTTTAATGTACGTATTATTTATACTATAGCTTAATGTATGTATTATTTATACTATAGTTTAATGTACATATTATTTATATTATAGTTTAATGTATGTATTATTTACACTGTAGTTTAATGTACATATTATTTATACTATAGTTTAATGTACGTATTATTTATACTATAGTTTAATGTACATATTATTTACACTGTAGTTTAATGTACGTATTATTTATACTATAGCTTAATGTATGTATTATTTATACTATAGTTTAATGTACATATTATTTATATTATAGTTTAATGTACGTATTATTTACACTGTAGTTTAATGTACATATTATTTATACTATAGTTTAATGTACGTATTATTTATACTATAGTTTAATGTACATATTATTTACACTGTAGTTTAATGTACATATTATTTATACTATAGTTTAATGTACATATTATTTATACTATAGTTTAATGTACGTATTATTTATACTATAGTTTAATGTACGTATTATTTATACTATAGTTTAATGTACGTATTATTTATACTATAGTTTAATGTACATATTATTTATACTATAGTTTAATGTACGTATTATTTATACTATAGTTTAATGTACGTATTATTTATACTATAGTTTAATGTACATATTATTTATACTGTAGTTTAATGTACATATTATTTATACTATAATTTAATGTACATATTATTTACACTGTAGTTTAATGTACATATTATTTATACTATAGTTTAATGTACGTATTATTTATACTATAGTTTAATGTACATATTATCTATACTATAGTTTAATGTACATATTATTTATACTGTAGTTTAATGTACATATTATTTATACTATAATTTAATGTACATATTATTTACACTGTAGTTTAATGTACATATTATTTATACTATAGTTTAATGTACATATTATTTATACTATAGTTTAATGTACATATTATTTATACTATAGTTTAATGTACGTATTATTTATACTATAGTTTAATGTACATATTATTTATACTATAGTTTAATGTACATATTATTTATACTATAGTTTAATGTACGTATTATTTATACTATAGTTTAATGTACGTATTATTTATACTATAGTTTAATGTACGTATTATTTATACTATAGTTTAATGTACGTATTATTTATACTATAGTTTAATGTACATATTATTTATACTGTAGTTTAATGTACATATTATTTATACTATAATTTAATGTACATATTATTTACACTGTAGTTTAATGTACATATTATTTATACTATAGTTTAATGTACATTTTATACTGTAGTTTAATGTACATATTATTTATGCTATAATTTAATGTACATATCATTTATACTGTAGTTTAATGAATATATTTTTACACTTTTATATTATATTTCTATATATTTCAGGGCGTCTGGTGGCCAGTTTGATCATGGACTTCCTGCAGGTCTTTAATCTGGACTTCACCCTTGCCGTGTTCCAGCCAGAGATCAACTCGGTGAGTTCCCAAACTGGTCCCAACAACAACAACAACAACAACAACAACAAGAGTGCACCTAGTGGTGACGGCTGATGATTAATCACACATACCATTGTAGAGATATAAACTATAAACTTCTACATTTTAAAGAGCGCGACCTAGTGGCGATGGCCTGAAATTGTGCACGATGCTTAAGGAAGACATGTGGAACTATGGACCCAAGTTTGATGTCAATCGGACATACCAATGTGGAGAAATGGTCCACTTCCTTTTTTGACAAAAAATCTACAGGAAGTTGGAATTTTATAGCGTGCTTATTTTTTGAAATTTCAAAAATGTTCAAATTACTCTTTTTGCCAGGGCGGTCCCCAGGTGCTAGGTGAAAAATTTCGTGCGAATCGGACAAAGCGTGTAGGAGGAACATGAAAAAGTAGTTTAAGGACATTTCGCGCTCTAACGAAAATAAATTATAGGCGGAAGTGGGCGGGGCCTATATGGGGAGATTCAGCTCCATTCACCGAACACGTGGATATAAGGTTTATGAATGTGCGATAAACTATGCAGAAGTTATTAGCCTAAATGCACTTTTTATGATAATAGCGCCACCTAGTGGCCAACACGAAAGCGATGCATAGAATATCCCCATTTTTACCAGGCCTGACAACTTTGCCAAATAAAATTGACTTTTCGTAAATGTTCAGGGGGGCAAAAATGCAGTCGAAGGGGGCTAAAAATAATAATAATAAGAAGAATAGGTAAGAAATCGAGCAAAAACAATAGGGACCTCCAGCGGTCGCTGGCTCGGTCCCTAATAATCCATCCACCTCACAGGTGTGGCATATCAAGATGCTGATCAGACAGATGGGTATTGCAGAGGTGTGCCTTAGGCTGGCCACAATAAAAGGCCACTCGAAAATGTGCAGTTCCCTCACACAGCACAATGCCACAGATGTCGCAAGTTTTGAGGGAGCGTGCAATTGACATGCTGACTGCAGGAATGTCCACCGGAGCTGTTGCCCGTGAATTGAATGTTCATTTCTCTACCATAAGCCGTCTCCAAAGGCATTTCTTAGAATTTGGCAGTACATCGAACCGGCCTCACAACCGCAGACCACGTGTAACTGCACCAGCCCAGGACCTCCACATCCAGCATCTTCACCTCTAAGATCGTCTGAGACCAGCCATCCGGACAGCTGCTGCAACAATCGGTTTGCATAACCAAAGAATTTCTGCACAAACTGTCAGGAACCGTCTCAGGGAAGCTCATCTGCATGCTCGTCGTCCTCATCAGGGTCTCGACCTGACTGCAGTTCATCATCGTAACTGACTTGAGTGGGCAAATGCTCACATTCGATGGTGTCTGGCACTTCGGAGAGGTGTTCTCTTCATGGATGAATCCCGGTTTTCACTGTACAGGGCAGATGGCAGACAGCGTGTATGGCGTCGTGTGGGTGAGCGGTTTGCTGATGTCAACGTTGTGGATCAAGGGGCCCATGGCGGCGGTGGGGTTATGGTATGGACAGGTGGCGGTGGGGTTATGGTATGGACAGGCGTGTGTTATGGACAATGAAGACAGGTGAATTTTATTGATGGCATTTTGAATGCACAGAGATACTGTGACGAGATCCTGAGGCCCATTGTTGTGCCATTCATCCACGACCATCACCTCATGTTTTTCATTCATCTTCATCCCCTTATCCGGGGTCGGGTCGCAGGGGTAGCAAGTTCAGCAGAGGACCCCAAACTTCCCTTTCCCTGGCCACATCGGCCAACTCTGACTGGGGGATCCCGAGGCGTCCCCAGGCCAGTGTTGAGATATAATCTCTCCACCTGGTCCTCGGTCTGCTCCGTGGCCTCCTCCCAGCTGGACGTGCCAGGAACACCTCCCTCGAACCATCTCAGCTGGCTCCTTTCGACGCAGAGGACAAGCCGCTCTACTCCAAGTCCCTCGCAGATGTCCGAGCTTCTCACCCTATCCCTAAGGGAGACGCTGGCCACCCTCCTGAGGAAACCCATTTTGGTCGCTTGTACCCGGGATCTCGTACTTTCGGTCACGACCCATCTCTCATGACCATAGGTCACCTGTGCAATACCGATGCTGTCTGGTCAGCATGTTGATATGCAACACCTGTGAGGTGGATGGATTATTATATATTATGCTCACTAACACAGATTTTGACAGATTTGTGAACAATATTTGAGAGAAATAGGCCTTTTGTTCACATAGAGAAAGTCTTAGATCTTTGAGTTCAGCTCATGATGAATGGGGACAAAAACAAAAGTGTTGCGTTTATAATTTTGTTCAGTGTATGAATACATAAAAAATGACACACTGACTCACACACACACACACACACACTGACTCACACACACACACGCACTGACTCACACACACACACGCACTGACTCACACTGACTCAGACACACACACACACACTGATTCACACACACACACACTCACTGACTCACACACACACACACACTGACTCACACTGACTCACACACACACACACTGACTCACACTGACTCACACACACACACACACACACACTGACTCACACTGATTCACACACACACACACTGACTCACACTGACTCACACACACACACACTGAGAAATATAAATGGTGTTTCTCTGCAGCTGAACGGTCTGGACAGTCGGGACCTGGTCTGCAGAGACCTGGGTCTGTCAGAGTCCGAGGTGAACAGGAACTCTCCTCTGCTGCTGGAGCTGGTCCGGAGAGGACGACACAAAGCCACCGAGGTGAGACTAACTGACTATCAGCCAATCAGCTGTCAGAGCTGCAATTCCTCTAGCGGCCACCAGGTGCTGCCGTCATTATGTATCAGACTAACACCTGCGGATCGGATTCCTCTTGAAATCAATGAGACGATGGTAGAAATAGTACCGCTCTGTCCACAGCGGGCGCCACAATCAACACGCTGACGGGTCCTTGTTTTAGATAAGGAAGCAAATTCTTGTAATGGATTACTTCAGTACTCTGTAATGATTGTGCAGCTCGTCAGAAAGTTAACTTCTGATTTGTTTCCTCTTGTGTGAACAGACGGACAGAAGTGGAAACATCTGCAAGGTGTGCTGTGTGAGTGTGTGAGCTGTGTGTGTGTGTGTGAGCTTGAGTGTGTGTGTGTGTGTGTGTGTGTGTGTGTGTGTGTGTGTGTGTGTGTGTGTGAGCTGTGTGAGTGTGTGTGTGTGTGTGTGTGTGTGTGTGTGTGTGTGTGTGTGTGTGTGTGTGTGTGGCGCTGTGTGAGTGTGTGTGTGTGTGTGTGTGTGTGTGTGTGTGTGTGTGTGTGTGTGTGTGTGTGTCATGAGGAGGTGTACTTCCTGTTGATCTCAGAGTGGCACACAGTAACAATAATACTTCTCTCTCACTGTCAGTTCAGTGTTGAAAATGATCACTGATCGCTGATTATCCTGAATCTGAGTGTCTTTATATCGTATATCATCCCATCTCTGTTAGCATGCTAAACTAAGAACATGGTAAAACATTAGCGTGTTAGCAGCCTCACAGCTAGCATGTGCTAGCGCTCTGAGCCGTGTTAAGCACTGAGTGTTTGTTTGTTCAGGCTGCCGAGGACTCTGCTGTTCCTGAGGAGAAGATGAGCTCTCCACCCGTCAGTAAGGTACGTCAGAGACCGGCTCTCCCTCAGAGACCGGCTCCTCCCTCCTTCAGAGACCGGCTCACTGTCAGAGACCGGCTCTCCCTCAGAGACCGGCTCCCCGTCAGAGACCGGCTCTCCCTCAGAGACCGGCTCACTGTCAGAGACCGGCTCACTGTCAGAGACCGGCTCTCCCTCAGAGACCGGCTCACTGTCAGAGACCGGCTCACTGTCAGAGACCGGCTCTCCGTCAGAGACCGGCTCTCCGTCAGAGACCGGCTCACTGTCAGAGACCGGCTCTCCCTCAGAGACCGGCTCCCCCTCAGAGACCGGCTCACTGTCAGAGACCGGCTCACTGTCAGAGACCGGCTCTCCCTCAGAGACCGGCTCTCCCTCAGAGACCGGCTCTCCGTCAGAGACCACCTTCTCGGTTTTGCAGACTAACACTATATAGAAAATGAACATGTGATTACCATCAGATGGTGAAAGTGAGTTTATGGCTGATATGATCAGACTGTAAAGGTGTATATTATACAGTGAGACAGAGTTTAAGTTGATAGTGTCCCTGTTCCTGTCGTGCACAGATCCCCAGATATAAAGGCCACAGTCTCAGAGGACAGAGTCAGACAGCAGCCAAGGTATAAAGACACTGCTTCATAATCTGCTTCCTCTGGTCACTAACACTGACGCACACAGACTGACACAGACTGCTTTCACCTCTTTCTGCAACGTCCCAGCAGCCCCAGCAGCCCTCATGGAGGGTTTTATAATGATCCAGTTCATTTAGTCAACATAATCAATAAAGCAGACGAGTGCTGACAGCACCAACGTAAACACTGCCACAGTTTCATCACAAGTAGACCTCATACAATCAGTAGGACAATAACAACGCTATGCTACCAGACAGTGAGCCAACGTTCCGCTAGTAGACGGCGGGCTAACTAACAGTCAGTATAATGTAACGGCGTGGTCAACAATAGAACTAGCAGCTATCCACATTTTGGATGTGGGAGGATCTCTTATAGAAAGTATGAGTGAGTTGAACAGCCAATGGGATGTGAGTATCAGTGCTGTCAGATTTATCACACATTGTTCATTTAGAACGATGAACATCAGGAAGTAATGGACCCCCAGCAGCCAATCAGAGAGCAGGATTCAGCCCGATACATAGATAATAAAAGATTGGGATCCAAAGCTACAGAGGAAGTTTAATTAGCAGATATTTGGGCTGCTGACCTAAATGAAGCGGCTGTGGTGAATCCGTCAGTGTAGTGAGAGCAGAGTGGGAGGATGTTACCGTCACTGTGAGAGCTGCACTTTAATGTTAATACTTCATTTCCCTCAGAAACAGGAAACACAGCCTCCCCAGACAGACACTGGCTGCACTGGAGTCGGTGGAACACACAGGAAGTGATGTCATGATATGGAGGAGTCCCCCTCAGTTTCACTTTGACGTCTCTGCCAGTTAAAGTAGGAGTGGAGACGTGATTTAGCTTTCACACACAGTCTGTGGAGGAAACGTTCCTCCTGAAAGTGAAACGGTTTCAGCAGAATAAACAGCAGAATAAAGTGGAACTGCAGCTCTCCATGAATCCTTCAGTCTGAACCACCGCCACAGTCTCTAACCCAAACAGCAGCATATAAAGCAGCTTTTCTACGGCGACACAAAGGTCTTTATACCTAAACCTGATGTTTGCTGATACTGCAGATTAATGGCAGCTAGCACAGTATGCTACGTAGCTCTGACTTTTAGCTCTAGACTCTGCTGGACACTAACAATAACAGAGTTCCTCCACCAGACCGATACCTTCACACACAACCAGAAACAGTGGATATAGTTGCCAATGTACAGCAGGGCGCAGACGCAAGAGCTGCTGTGATTTGTGTAGACTTCTAAACTGAGTAGATCTGGTTCATTACAGATGGATCCACACTTCCTGTCATCAGTAGAGATCAGATCTCTCTCCCAGGCTTGTTTACTGGATCGGGAGGTTCGAGACGAGTTCAGGGCTCTATAAAGTGATAGGATTAGTTAATGTCCACAATCTTCTTGTCAATACAGCATCAATACAATCCATAAAAATACAGTGTATACTGATCAATATCATCCATACAGATACAGTGTATACTGATCAATACAATCCATAAAAATACAGTGTATACTGATCAATATCATCCATACAGATACAGTGTATACTGATCAATATCATCCATAAAGATACAGTGTATACTGATCAATATCATCCATACAGATACAGTGTATACTGATCAATATCATCTGTAAACACTTACATTAGCACGAGGCTACGTTAGCATGTGAGAACAGCTGCTGCTGACCAGAACAAACTGCTGATGTCATCATCACCTGCCGCACTAACTCACCTGCCGCACTCACTCACCTGCCGCACTCACCTGCCGCACTAACTCACCTGCCGCACTAACTCACCTGCCGCACTCACCTGCCGCACTAACTCACCTGCCGCACTAACTCACCTGCCGCTCTAACTCACCTGCCGCACTCACTCACCTGCCGCACTCAACTCACCTGCCGCACTAACTCACCTGCCGCACTCACCTGCCGCACTCAACTCACCTGCCGCACTAACTCACCTGCCGCACTAACTCACCTGCCGCACTCACTCACCTGCTGCAGTTGTACTTAAAGCCTCAGGTCCTGATGAAGATGATGAAGATGATGAAGATGATCAGAGTCAGTGCAGATCAGCGGCTGTAGTCAAATCATCAATACAATATGTGATTGATTGCTCCCACCTGACTGCCAATGAAATCTATATCAATAACTATTGATTTAATACAAGCCGGTATTTAAATAATGGCTCTTCATAGCCCCGCCCCCTTTCTGCTCTGTGCTCCAATCACAGCTCAGCAAGCCTCGGTCAACTTCCTCCTTTCCTGTATTTATAAATGCTATATGCTAAGCTAATCTATGTTGGAAAGACGACCACATTATGAAGATGGTTCAAAGATAAAAGAGACAAATATATAATCAATAATCAATCTTAAGTTAGCTGTTGACATAAAGGAGTTTGTATAAAATGAATTATTAGTGGATTTAATGAGTATATAAACATATATATATATAAATATAACCCTTTATAGTTTATAACAGATCTATATTTCCTCTTTAATCTTTCACCATCTGTCTGATGTTCTGCTTCCTGTTTCTGTCTGTTGTCATGCCGACGCTCAGGAGTCGGAGCGCGCGTCGTCTCTGGGGAAAGGAGACTTCCAGCAGCCGGTCTCCAGAGCCGACGGGGCGTCCGACAACAGGACCTCCTCGTCCGGTCTGAAGAAGGATCGTTTGGACCTGGACCTGGAGGACGACCCCGACGAGGGAGATTCTTTCTTTGACGACCCGCTGCCCAAACCGCAGAAGACCTACGGCTGGTGAGGAACGCCTGACCTTTCACCTCTCACTGAGAGTTTGATACCTTCAATTCAATTCAATTCAATTCAATTTATTTGTATAGCGCCAATTCATAACAGAAGTTATCTCAGGACACTTTTCAAATAGAGCAGGTCTAGACCGAACTCTTTAACATTACCGACCTTCTGTCTGTACTGCTTAGCTTAGCATAAAGACTGGAAACAGTGGGAAACTGCTAGCCTGGCTTTCTATAAACCACATTACCAAACAACAGATAACGTTTTAAGGTATTTTCAGACGGGGAGCAACTAGCTTTGTATAAACCGTGAGTCTGTTCATTAAGGTACACATAGTGAACTGATATCTGAAGATCTGTCTTTATTGTTGTTGTTGTTGTTGTTGTTTACATTATCACAGGATCAGCATCAGTGCTTTCCTGTCAGTCTTTGTTCAACGTTGAGATATTGTGTGTTCTCTGTCTCTGCTGCCTGTGAAGTTCTTCAGAAAGGAGCAACAGTCAGTAAGTATGAGCGCTCACTGACCCTCTGCAGAGCTCCAGGATCAAACCCTCTCTGGACAGATCATCTCTTGTAAAGATCTCCACAGCAGAGATTCATTCTCCACTTTCAGGACACGTGTCTCTCAGATAAATACCCTCAACTCAAGGTCCACTGTCTTCAGCTGTCTCCTGAGCGTTTGACCACCTCTCAGGGTTCAACGTGAGGCGAGACGCTGTCACTGCAGTTCCTCCAACTGGGGCTAACGACTATTTTCATAATGATCTGATCATTTCCTCCATTAATTGATTATTAGTTTGATCCATCGACCTGTAGAAAGCAGAAAATATCCACTTTCAGAAGCTGCAATCAGAGAATTTGGATCGATTATCCAAACATTAGTTGATTAATAGCTGACAACGAACCAGTTCATCCACTAATCGTTGCAGTCGTTGGTGCTTCAGCTCATGATCTGTTCATTCTCACGAACTGAGCATGTGCAGCTTTCCACAGAGAGGAGACGACGCTTGCTGCCTGCAGATGTTTGTGGATCAGCTGATTATCCAGATAACTGATAATTGGTCAGCTGATTAATGGTTGTGTGATAGTTCGGGAACCGGCGTGAGTTGTATTGAAATGGTAGAAACATTTTGAATCTTTTACAATCGTCTGCTGCAGAAAATCACTAGTTTCCTCCTCCAGTGGAGAGAGCAGGAAGGATTATTCCTCTTTTAATGCCGCTCTGGAGACTTTGACTTTAAGCTTCTTACAGACTCAGACGAGTCTCACAGCTCCATGTTGTCTTCAGCTCTCTGTGCAGATCCCCCCCCTCGTCGTCTGAGGATGCACTGATGATCAACTCACCTGAACGTGTCTCCAAAGAGACAGTGGAGACGTGTGGAGTCCTCAAAGAGTCTACAACATATTAAAGATATTAAAGTGTGAACCATCTATATGTTGTCCAATGATGGTCAAACACAGCACAGTCATTTAGTTCTGTTTAATAATGCTACAGGAACATACAGGAAGTGGAAATCAGTGCATCTTCAGTCTCTGAGCTCGTCCTACCTGTCCTACCTGTCTCTTTTATCTCCTCAAACTGTCTTTATGTCTTAAATGTCCTTGTATCTCTGTTCTACTTCCTGTCTCCTTGCTTACTCCCACCTGTGCGTCCCCCCTGTTGTCTCTCTGAGGGAGGAGGGTCTCTCTGGGCCGGTCGTCCCCCCCATGAGACGAGGCAAAAGCCTCAGCGAGTGAGTCCAGTGCACGGCGTCCCGACTGAGTGAGGAGTGTTTGTGGTCTGAGGACTCGTTCACACAGAGACACTGTGGTCAAACTGATGAGGAGATCCAGTAACAACACACGACCTCCTTAATGTCTGTCTGTGTGTCTGTCTGACTGTGTGTGTCTGTCTGTCTGACTGTGTGTCTGTCTGTCTGTCTGTCTGTCTGTCTGTCTGTGTGTCTGTCTGTGTGTCTGTCTGACTGTGTGTCTGTCTGTCTGTCTGTCTGTCTGTGTGTCTGTCTGTGTGTCTGTCTGACTGTGTGTCTGTCTGCGTGTCTGTCTGACTGTGTGTCTGTCTGTCTGTCTGTCTGACTGTGTGTCTGACTGTGTGTCTGTCTGTGTGTCTGTTTGTCTGTCTGTGTGTGTGTGTGTGTGTCTGTCTGTCTGTCTGTGTGTGTGTCTGCTAGGACACATTCACAGACAAATTCACAGACATATTCAGAGACGGCAGCCAACCAGCTCATACCTCCTGCACCTGCGCGAGAGGTAATAACCCGTCTATAGCAGCAGCAGCAGCTCTGTGGGTGGAGGGTTGCCCGCTCTCGTCCGGGTTCTTCCTCAGAGATGAAGAAGTTCAGATCAGATCCTTTCTGCATGAGCGGTCTCTGAGTGTGTCCTGGTCTTGTGTCTTTGTGAGGACCAGTCTCAGACCTCCAAGCTGACTCTCTCTTCTTTTCCCTCTTCCTCCTCTTCCTCCTCTTCCTCTCTCTGGTCTCAGTTTGTCTGTCCTGTCTGCTGACTCAGAGGGTGAGCGAGATGATCCTCTCTCTGAACGCAGTCAGACCTCTGAGCTCAGGTGAGCCACAGGTGGACCCATCTTAAACCTGCAGTGTCTCTGAGAGCCAGCAGGGGGCAGCTCCACTCTGATTGTATTGAGTCTTATGGAGAAGTTGATTAATGAGCTCAGCAAACAGTTTCCTGATGAGTTTCTGGTCTCAGTCTCTAGTTTCAGTCTTCTTCCATACAGCATGATGTTCATTTAGTAACTGATGGTCCCATTGAGAGTAAAACAGACCATAAAGCAGGGTATGCTTTAGGGCGGGGCTACCTTGTGATTGACAGCTCATTCTCAGTGAGTCCGTCCAGCTCAACCAAACTCAGATCAAACTGTCAGTAGTTTCCCATACATCCTGGAAAATCTGAGAAACCTGTAAATTCAGAGACTAGTTTTCCAGCCATGGACACACCTGAAAATAATCTGTGTTGTCCTGCAAATATTTAATAGTATTGTAGCTCCTCACTCAGATTACGTCACCCTGAGTGTGTATTTAGTCTGTTTGGTTGGATAATCTGCACTCTGTGATAATTCAGTGCTGGTTTACAGACGTTTCTTTCTGTCAGTTGAGACATTTCAACCAGCTGCACTCACACAGCCTGTTATTAAAGATCATTTACATTGTTGTGTAAGTTGATAATTGTTCATTTTACATACAGCGGACACTTTCTTTAATAGACCAATAGGTTAGAAGATAAATAAAGTCAGTTCTATGTGATTGAACAGTTTATGGCAGCCATTGTGAGCGAGTGCTGTCCTGTATATAAGATAGTTGTGTGTACATACGTATAATTCACTGTTAACAGAGACGATCTGACTAAATGTTAGCACATAAAGACCCTGCATGGTTCACGTTTCAGCTCAAAAGTTGGTGGCTCAGTCATTAAATATCCTTTAATGGAGATCCAGATCATGATTCTGTGGAAGAAAAATGTAATGGGCTTCCAAAGAATCCAGATCAGGATCCAGATCTGTGAGTAATCCTCTGACTGTGTACTGTTTGTGTCTCAGGAAGGTGGAGACATCCAGGCCCAGAGAAAGTCCAGCAGGGTCCCTGTCCGAGGCCCAGAGACCAGGAGGAGGAGGAGGAGGAGGAGGAGGAGGAGGAGGAGGAGGAAGCAGTGTGTCAGAGCAGAGCCACAGCAGGAACGGTCAGTACAGTGCCCCCTACAGGCTGCAGACGTCATTACAGTCACTGTCTGAACAGTAGAGCTGAGGGGCGTCCCGTCCTCTGGACAGCAGCGTCAACCTGAAGACTTTTGATTTTCTTCCTGCAGGTGTGTCGAACTCCAGAGAACGAGGCTTCAGAGACTCAAAGGCCCCGAACGATAAAACCGGATCTCTGCATTTAGGTAGGAACTGTCAGAACTTCTGTCCTCCTGCAGGAAACAATCTGTCCCTGTTGGGTTCTCTGTGTTTCACTTCCACTATCGGGGTAATCATTTGTACCATTATGCTGTCATTTGATGTACTGATACCTACAGTAAGTAGGTCCAGTAATCTCACTAGCATCAGGTAAGTGGTTCCCCAAAGGCCTGTTTTGAAGGGGAAGGAGTTCTGAATGAGCCAGTACATCTATACTACAATCAGTATTGATGAAATCCTGACAATCAGGCAGTTTATATTGTTTGTAGTTGGTTAAAAGCAAAATGTTCTTTTTTACAGCAGCATAAAACAGTAAAAATGATAAAAAATAAGTGTAACTTTAGCACCAAATCAAAGAATAGGTATTGTTGCTTGTATTCATAATGTATTGATTGACGCCTTCTGCTTTAAAATATGAAGCTGTCCCTCTAGCGACTGTCAAAGTCAGGTGACGTAGTGTAGAGTCTACATATGGAGTTGGTGGGGTGGAGGTCACTGTTGGTGTCTTAACCAAAAGTTAACATTTCCTTTTAAGTAACTTGCAACCTTTTCCTAACCCTAACCAAACTTTATTCTGAAAGTGTAACTGAACGTTGCATATTTATTATTTGCATCCAGAAGTTTCAACCTTTAAAGGAACATCAAACATTTTAAATAATTAAATTATTTAACAACCAACTGTAAAAGTTTTTTCTTCGAGTGATAAATGTGAATGTCATCTGCAAACATTTCAATAATGTGTCTGGATTTTCTCTTCTGTTGGTTTTTGGTCTGTTCATTTTGGGGGTTGTTGTAGAAAAACTTAATAAAGCTTGTTAAAGAATTCAAATTGTTTAATTTGACTAATTAAAACTTTGTTTCACAGATGACGATGTTGAATATGACGATGACTTTAACAGGTAAGATGGACAACATGTTTCAATTCTTCTACATTATGAGGTTTTCATTCTTTCCAGTTCCTTCAGGCTCAATACTTAGTTTGTTTTTAACTCATAGTTTGTCTAAAGGTTCGGTCACGTTAACTCTTTAAAACCTATTTAACAGCTTCAGTCAGAAAAAAATGCTAGAAACTGTCAGAAACTTGACATTTTTGTTGAAAAGTACGTTTTGTTTAATTCTGACTCCTTCAAAGAGCTGTTTCAGGGTTTTTCCTTCAACCTCCAATAATCAACCGTACAAATGAACAAAGTACATTTGGTTGTTTCTTACATTAAAATTGTTCCCCTGCAGTATCTTCTATCTCAGGTCTTTTACACCAACAGGGAACTGTTCCAGTTCAAACACCTGGTTTTAACCTGTTGCAGCATTTTGACCAAATATTCAGTTTAGTTTTATTTGTATGACACCAGATCATAACAGACATTATCTACAAAAGGAAGTCCTAGAAGTTTGCTTTATGTGGGACTTGTAATTTACATAATTGATTAATTTCATCAGGCTTGATAGATCGATAGATTGATAGATATAACTGGGTATCATCTGCATAACAATGAAAGTTATTGGAGTGATTCCTAATAATGTTGCCTAAGGGAAGCATATATAAAGTGAATAGAATTGGTCCAAGTACAGAACCTTGTGGAACTCCATGACTAACTTTAGTGTTTATGGAGGATTTGGTTTGGAATCCAAAAAGTTGGCTTCAAGAAAGCAACTCTGGAACCAAAGTGGGAGTGTCATACACTACAGGTCGTTGTACAACGCCCTCCACTGATACTTAGTATCCTTGATTAAAGTAGTACTGCTCAAAACTGGTTCACTATAATACCAAGGTTCCAAGAATCGGTTCAAAACCATCCCTGAAACTGTCTCTGCTCTGAACAGAACTGTAGCTTTGACTACATGTAAGGCTTCCTATTAGTGGACTGAGTCTCTGCAGGAGGTTTTGAGTCTGCAGGAGGTTTTGAGTCTCTGTAGGAGGTTTTGAGTCTGCAGAAGGTTTTGAGTCACTGTAGGAGGTTTTGAGTCTCTGCAGGAGGTTTTGAGTCTGCAGGTGGTTTTGAGTCTGTAGGAGGTTTTGAGTCTCTGCAGTAGGTTTTGAGTCTCTGTATGATGTTTTGAGTCTCTGCAGGAGGTGTTGAGTCTCTGTAGGAGGTTTGGAGTCTCTGCAGGTGGTTTTGAGTCTCTGCAGGAGGTTTGGAGTCTTGTAGAAACAAACCGGTCTGAACACTCTGTTTCTGTTGGTCCAGCCATCGGTCCGACCTCTCCAAGAGTGAGCTCAGCATCGGCGAGGAGATTGAGGAAGTTTCCATCGAGGGACCTGACAACAGCGACAAGGTGATCAGACCCTCAGAGTCCTGGTTCAGGTCTTACCCGCTCTGTTCTTTAAATCTTTACCTTCAACCTGTTTGTGTTTGTTCTGCAGTTGGATGAGACCACCCAGGACCTGAGTGTGTCTCAGCTCAGTCAGAGTCACGGAGTCGATTACATGGAGGAAGTGGCCTGACCCTCCCATCACCCAACACCCTCTGCTCTCCCATCGTGCACCTCTTTGTATCGTCAATATTTAAGTCTGTACAGTTTCAATGAGCGAATAAATAAATGGATTTGTATCGAGAGGTTGTTGTATGCAGGGTTTGAGCCTCTGATGTTGTTTAAATGTAAACCACGGCGTCACATATCCAGATATAAAGCATCATCGTTATTCCAGTGTAAGTCCCTGTACACCTCGTTAGCAACCACCTAGTAACCCTTTCAGTATGTTATCCGTCCAGTCGCGGCAGTGTGGATGTTAGCAACCTCCTAGAAAATAATACTGAACGTCTCCGATTCAACATTTAGGACTCTATGACCACTTAGCAAAAGCTTAGCAACCGACAGAAACACCCAATAAAACAGCAGCTCTTTAAAAGTCTCACACACAAACTGACCTCGGAGGACCCAAACCACCAACATCAATAATAAATCAATACACCAATAAATAAGTACAGTCGCTCACTCAGTCGCTTGATCAGCCAATGAAACACCTCCAACAACAGACCCCCTCATTCTCATAATTAATTTTTTAAATTTATTTTACCAGGAAGTCTGATTGAGATCAATAATCTCACAAAAAGCCCAATGAAACATTAAAATACAAATAATATAAAAACTCCAGTGACCACATTCATTATGATGAGGTTCATCAGTGGGCAAAAACTGGGCTAATTTTGCAGATTATTATCCAAAGTGCTTGGTAAGAACTGCAGCTTTTACACTACAGTCACATTCACTCATTCACACTCATTCATTCATCTGCTGTTGTCTGCGAGTGGTCAACGATGTCCAACCAACCGAATCATAAATATGTAATGAAACGGATGTACGTTACGCTACATCCAGGAAACTACACAATAAATTCACAAAGAAATCCAAATGTAAACTGTGGTTGCTTTTTAAAGCTGCAGTAAGTATTTTTAAATCTGAAACTTTGACTGACAGTAGAACGTGAGACAGATAATCTGTGAAACAATCAGGTTCTTCTGGTTCCTCCTACTGCTCCTAACAGGAATTACAAGAATCCACTGGGCCGAACATAAATGACCAATCAGAGCCGAGAAAGATAGAAAGACACTTTGGGTTGGAGGCTTGAAGATATTTGATTGTCTCATTCCCAGGACGTCAGTATGACGAGACTCAACAATCTACTGTCTTTCTCGGCTCTGATTGGTTGTTCGAATTGTGGATGATTTGTTAAAGTGTGACGTCGTATGTGGGAGTTGGTTACAGCGCCACCTGCTGCAGCAGCACGGTGAGACATAGAGATAAAAGGGACAATCACTGATACAGAACCACATAAAAGATCAAATACACACCAGTGACAGAACAGGCATACAAAAACAGTAATCTATTACAGTTACATAAAAAACTTTCATCAGATTACAGTTATATGAAAATCTGGATATTTAGCAGGAGGACAATTTTAAGAGGACAGAATTTATGCTAAAATCTTGTTTTCAAGATTCAAGATTCAAGAAGCTTTATTTATCCCGAGGGAAATTACTGTGCAACAGTTTCAATACAAAGGTCGTAAAGTAAAGTAATACAGGGTCAGAGTAAAAATAAGCTGACATAAAATAAAATAAAACAAAAAAATAAAATAAAGGCTAACATAAAATAAATCAAACAATTAACTAAATGCAACAAAATGTAAGCACTTACAGGTAACATAAGTAGAAAAGAAGAAAACAAGTAACTAAATGTTACAAAGTGCAACCAAAATTGCAGTTAAACGTAGGTACAGTATATACAATATACAACAATACGCACCGTGCAGCTTAGCAGCATAAATTGAAATAAAATAAGCACAAACTAAGTAAGTGATAAGGAGCGATTGGATAAAGTGGTAACAGTGGTAAAAGTGATTTAAAAACTTGTAGCAGCATTTGTTATCAGCATAAATTAACTATGGTACAGTACAACTACATAAAGTGATGAAGTGAAAGTTGGGTAAAAAAAACGGTAAAGTGACATTTGTTCAGGACACAGTGTCTCCACTGTCCCTCTCGCGACCGGAGGTAGATGAGTTATAGAGTCTGATGGCCACAGGAAGAAAAGACTTCCTCTGGCGTTCAGGGTTACATCGGGGGGGATGAGTCTGTTGCTGAAGGTGCTTCTGCTCGAGGTTAGCACCTGGTGGAGAGGGTGAGCGTTGTTGTCCAGGATACTGTGCAACAGAAATTCGCTTTGCATCTGGACTGATGGTCTGTGCTGGAGCAGCTCTCTGCTTCTCCAAACTGAGGGATCGCTGAGCAGCAGCTAATGTAGCTAACACACTGACTATAGATAAGTACTTCATACGACCCCACTTCAAAAAACCCGAACTATCCCTTTAAGGTTGAAGATCGGCAACATTTCCGTTTAATCTTTTGTTTACACTGTAGTTTATTCTATCCGTTATACACCGTTCTTCTGCTGCAAATACTCACTAGCTCACCAAATCCGTAGCTGAAAGTCATCCCATTACAAATACACTGTTTATTTCTGTTTGGGTAACTTTTGCTAGAAACTACAGTGGCCAGCTGTTTTAGGAGTAGTATAGTATATTTTCATGACCTGTTTTCATGACCATACCACATTGTGCCTCATATACTGTAAATGTCAGACCCAGTGACAGGCTGGCATGAAATGGCTTTCATAATACTTAGTAAGGAGGCCATAATATTTTTGACTCATGGCTGAAGTTAAGTTTCTCCAGCTCTCCCCAGGTTGGCAAAAAATGCATCTCAAAATGAATCAGATTGATGCTTTAAAATATGGAATATTCAAAATGTTCTTTTACGGGGGCATGCTCCCCCGGACCCCCCTAGAGGTGTAATATCCTTCTCACCTTTTTCACCCCTGACCCGTTTTCATGCCTGTTACAGTAAGAATCTTTTTCACACATTAATATTTATTTCTAGAAATAAACATTTATTCTTTGAACATCGAAAACTTTCTGCTGTTATTGTGACTTTAAAGAACGTCGCTGAGCGAGGAGACATTTCAAACCACAGACATCAGTGTTTGTGTGAAACCTCGAATTCAGGTCTTCCTCTTTCAGGTCCCTCTCTCTCTCTCTCTCTCTCTCTCTCTCTCTCTTTCTCTCACAGACACATTTCCCTTTTATCAGCGGTGTGTTTTCAGTGTGAGATCGATGCCGTGCAGCCGCCTCCACCATCACCTGTATGAGCGCCAAGCAATAGCAGCAGCAGCAGCCAGTGAGTTTTATTTCTACTTTTATTCTGTTATTTCTGTTCCTCACTCTCTCAGTAAAACCACAGCCCTCCTTCACTTCTTATTTCTTTTTTTTTTCTTATCTCTTTCACTTTTATTTTCTGTCTTTGACAAAACTTCTGTCTTGTGAGTTTGGAAGTTGTGAAGCGAAGGGGGTTGTCTCAGTCCAGATTAAATCTAAACTTTAGGTTTTAATATGGAGCAGCTGGACGGACGGACAGAAACGTGCAGATAAGTAGATTCGGTTCATGTTTCGTTGTCTTTGTTTGGGGAACCTGAGGCAGATGATGTCATATGTCAGATAAGATCACACCGAGTCATTTTTGTGTCATTTTATCATGAAAATCTACAGGATGTGAAAAAAGATGGTGTTTTCCTTCAGGTCAGAGTTGGGTCATATTAAAATACACAGATTAATATCAGTGGACGCTCCTCTGTCTGCATACAGATATATAAATATATACTAACACTAACCAGTTTCAACCACATTCACTCAGAAAATTGGAGTCGGGTTCAGATTTTGTGTCCCGTTATAAAATTAAATTTATTACTAAGTCCAGTTTGGTGACGACTGAACAAACACTAAAGGTAGCAGGATACTCTGATCAGTGTTAGCATGTTTTCCCTTCTCTGAGATTAGTTAACTCTGGGGCTTTGGTTTAACACCACAAGCAAAATGCTGAGAAGGCATTCTGAAAATGTAAATTTCTGATTTATAGCAGGCCCAGTGTTTTCCCTTTGTGTGGCCCCCCAGTGGTGGATTTGAATGAAACTTTCAGGGTGTGTTCAGGGTCCTTATATGGACATATCCTGTGAGTTTTGTAAAGATCGGTTTGATCTGTTTATGTGCTGAGCCATACCCCTCTGAAGCTAATTGATCAATATGTTAAAAACTAAATAAGAGATCAATAAGCTTTATGCAACTATTGATCAGCTCCGTCCGACGATGATCCACAGAACGTTTGGCAGCAGTCAGCTCGACGGTTCAGGAGCAGCCGGCATTTTTCAAAGAATTCAAAATGGTGGACTTGGAGAGGTTTTATCAAGCAAATCTCTTTATTTCCAGTAAATGAGCCAAGTTTCATTTTTGCAGATCACTCCAGCCCACAGCAATTAAAACCGACGCAGCAGACAAATAATAATCATCATAATAAAATAATTATAATAAAGCTGCAAGCAGCGAAGAAGAGCACAACTTTTAATCGTAATGGTCTTTAGATTGCACTGAATCTGAAGTTGATGCCATCAATGCAATAAGTTATTTTACCTACAGAAAAGAAAATGTTGATACAGATTCCATTGAACATTTCAAGAAACACAAACTCAGTTTCGTAAGTGAAAAAAGATTCTTGAGCTTTTTACTCGGGATGTCCCGCCACTGTTTCATGAGGGTTCGAGCGCGTTGTGGCCGTCAAAACTGCAAAAATAGTAATTCCTTCCATTTCAAAGAGCTTTGAAGTTTCTCTTTTAGAAACTTGTGTTTGAAGCAAATTGAATGTGCAGGGTTGATAAGAAGAGAGCAGGTTTATTAGCACAAATGTGTTAATTATGATGTTAGTGATGGAAATATTTCACAATATTGATCTTTCTTGTTGAAGTGGCCCGCAGACAGTGAGAGAGCCCTGCTGTGCAGGCCGGTGGAAGAATAATAATAAAACTAATATTAATAATAATGATAATGATGATATAGCAGTGAAGTACTTCCTATAAAAACAGGATGTTTTTAAATGCAGGTCTCCGGGCAGTAAATCACAGCCTCAGCCGATGGTTTAAGGAAGTCAGGTGATTTAAAGGAAGTCAGGTGAACAAATACCTGTACAGGTGAGTCAGGTCAGCAGAATGCAGCTCAGCAGGTTAATGTGGCTCTCACCTTAGTCCGGCTGCAGACGATCAGACAGACAATCAAACTGGAACTGCTGTTTAATAAAAAGCTGCTTTAAACCAGCGCAGTTTGTTGTTTGTTTAACTTCAGCTGACATTTGAATTACGGGAAGTCCGAGAGTACAAACGGAGCATCTGTCGGCCAGTTTGAAGTCCGCATGGCGTCCATCAAGCAGAAGTAGAGAGCAGGAACACAAGGCGTTTGAGGAACTGTCATCTTTTAATAAAAAACAGTTTATTTCTCCTTTAAGATCTTTGTATAAACACATTGTGTGTAAAATCTTCATCTGCAAAGTAAAAAGTGACGAACCTGAAGGTTCAAGTTCCTCAGGTTGATCCTTGAGTAAAGGTTAGTAAAGAGTCTCGATCTGGTCTCACATCAGAGTCCAGACAATTTTAGAGAATTGAAATGCATATATATTGCCATTGTGACCTTTTCAAAATAAAACTTTTGGTGAATAATTGTGTATATATAAATGTATATTAAAAACAACCAACAACATTAAATGTAAAATGCCCAAAATAATAATGAAAGTCTCAAATATCATTTTTAAACATGTCAAAGTAAATCCAACAGATGGTAGAAATACAGTCAAAATAAAAGAAGTAAGTTAACAAAAATGCAGTCACTTATTCACATCAATTGAACCCAACTCAAAAAAGTAAAAACTGTTTCAAGTGAACTTGAATGTGTGCAGTATTTTAAATGTTAGTGATATAATTCCAGTTTGTTCCACTCCCTTTATATTGACTTTATATCATTACAAAAACACAAGCCCCAAAATTAATTGGCTCCCATTTTGATTTTAATTGATATTATGTTAGCTGTTTTGACAGGTAATATTTTGCTTTAGTGGAAGTAAAATCAGTTTACATTTGTATAAAGAAGATGCTTTAAAGTTAGTCTGACTTTATTAAGATAAATAACACATTTTAAATGAGTTTAGTAAGAGTTTAATATACTTAAGTTCAAATAACTGAATGAAAATGATAAAAATTAACTTAATTTACCCAAGTTACCTTAACAACAAATACTTGAGTTACAAATATTTTTTCATGCCTAAATTGTTGGATTTAATAATAAAAGCTTTTAATGTCATCTTTAAATATATCAAAGTAAATCTTAAATATGGTAGAAATACAGTGAAAATACATTAAAAAGCTTGCTAGCTGGTAAACTAACAATAACTCACCAAGGTAGATAAAAAACTATTTAATATGAGTTCTGGTTCTCTTTGTGGAGTCAAAGTAACGTAAATACCTTAGAATTTAAATTAATATTCTAGCTTTTATTTGAACAGACCTTTAATAATTTCTGCACCAAAATCATGTTCAGCAAAAATGGAAATACTGTCAGATTGTTTATTTAAACTATGAATATTCATCATAATTCATACATCACCAATCATTGATTTGATGATTTGATCACGTGGTTAGTGTAAAATGAAGTGAAGGATTGAATTGTGGAGAACCTGACTGATCTAACGCTGTGTAGCACATCCATATTGACAAAAGTTTAAACAGTAAGAAGGCAGTTATTGTAATTTGGTCTAAAATGTTCCAGTTCTCCGTTCTATGATTGTATAGAAGAAGAAAGCTTTCTCATACAAACTGTAGTAAGTTGGGAGAAACCCAAATCAGAAGACTCTTCTGGTCGAGGCAGACGACCACCCACCTAGAGCCGAAGGATCTGTCCTAGGTTTCTGCCTTTTAACAGGCAGTTTTTCCTTGCCCTTGTCGCCAAGTGCTTGCTCATGGTGCTACTGTTGGGTCTCTGTAAATAATGTTTTAAAGAGTTCGGTCTAGACCTACTCTATTTGAAAAGTGTCCTGAGATAACTTCTGTTATGAATTGGCGCTATACAAATAAAATTTAATTGAAATGAATTGAATTCTGAACATTAAAAGCAGATTGCAGGTCCTCAATCGACCTCGCTAAAGATGAGGCAGAACTATACATAACTCTGTCGTCTGCATAAAAATGTAATGTTGCATTAATGATATAAATTGTAAATAAAATGTGACCCAGTACGGACTCCTGTGGGACACCGTTTCATATATTTAAAAAGCTTAAGAATAAACCAACTTGGACACATAATCATGAAAATTCTTATTTAATGTTTTCAGCGGGGAACAGTCACTCTGATCAAACCAACAATCCTCTGACATAAGTGTGAAACCTGTAAGGAAACCACACATTATACATTAACTGGGTCACTCAGTGTTTCACAGTCAACTGACCTCTTTTTCTGCAAACTTCCTCTGAGTGCTCAGACACCTGAGAACAAACACTGACACAATCAACACCTTAAACGACCACAACTAGAACATCTTCAACCCTTTTTACGAGCAGAACTAAGTCCTACCCCGATTCTTGTGTGCCACTTTCACATCATTTAAATATCTCGAGTTTTATAGTTTTTACATCACGAAACTTGGAGAAAGTCAAAAAGTTGTTTCTGTCCTAAATTAATAAATAAAGTGTGTCACTGATACATGAACAGCTTTTAGAGTTTGAATCACAATGTGAAAATATTTTAAATCTCAATATATGTGTACTTACATTATCCCAAATGTTTACAACAATGTTCGGTCTGTTATTTTATTCATGTAACGCTGCGTTTCACCTGTCGCCTGTCAATGGCGTAATATCCCCTTTGTGCTGAATTAATTGGAGCGTTTTAATGGACTTATTGGGGCAACCTGATAATAAAGAGTTGCAGTTATCCAGCCTTGAAGTAACAAATACATGGATTAGTTTTTTTGCATCTGTCTGTGATAGTATGTTTCTAATTTTTCTAAAGAAGGCAGTCCTAGAGGTCTGCTTTATGTGGGAGTTAAATGACAAATCCTGATCAAAGATAACTCCAAGATTCCTGACAGTGGTGCTAGAGGCCAAGTTAATGCCATCTAGAGTAACTATATCTTTAGACAGTGAGTCTCTAAGGTTTTTTGGGGCCAAGAACAAGAATTTCGTTTTTTTCTGAGTTTAACATCAGAAAATTGCAGGTCATCCAGAATTTTATGTCCTTAAGACATGTTTGTAATTTAGATAATTGATTAATTTCATTGGGCTTGATTGATAGATATAACTGCGTATCATCTGCATTACAGTGAAAGTTAATGGAGTGATTCCTAATAATGTTGCCTAAAGGGAGCATATATAAAGTAAATAGTATTGGTCCAAGTACAGAACCTTGTGGAACTCCATGATTAACTGTAGTATCTATTGAAGATTCATCGTTAACATGTACAAACTGCGAACGATCTGATAAATATGACTTAAACCAGCTTAGTGCGGTTCCTTTAATGCCAATTTGATGCTCAAGTCTCTGTAAAAGAATATTATGGTCAATGGTGTCAAATGCAGCACTAAGATCTAATAATACAAGTACAGAGACAAGTCCATTGTCAGAAGCAGTCAGAAGGTCATTATTAACTTTAACCAGAGCTGTCTCTGTGCTATGATGGACTCTAAATCCTGACCGAAAATCCTCAAATAAACTATTGTTATGTAGAAAGTCACACAACTCTTTGGCGACTACTTTCTCCAGAATCTTAGAGAGGAAGGGGAGGTTAGAAATCGGTCTATAGTTGGCTAAAACCCCTGGGTCAAGAGTGGGCTTTTTAAGAAGGGGTTTAATTACAGCTACTTTAAAGGACTGTGGTACATATCCTGATAATAAAGAAAGATGAATCATATCCAGTAAAGAAGTGCCAATTTCGGGTCTAACAGACAGGTTGATGGCTTCGATGAAGAAATGATTGAAATTAACTGATGAAGATCGATAGAAAACAGTCTAAATATATATCTAAGTTTACAGTGGCAGAAGTCCCTGAACTTGGAGAGCCACTGATAACTGTTGATGGCAGTTGGTGATTAATTTTCTCTCTAATAGTAATAATTTTATTATAGAAGAAGCTCATGAAGTCATTGCTACTTAAGTTTATGGGGATATGTGGCTCAATAGAGCTGTGACTCTCTGTCAGCCTGGCTACAGTGCTGAAGAGGAACCTAGGGTTATTCTTATTTTCTTCTATTAGTGCTGAGTAATAGGCTCCTCTGGCATTACGAAGGGCCTTTCTATAAGTTTTAAGATTATCTTGCCAATTTGAGCGATATTCTGATAATTTGGAAGAGCGCCATTTCCTTTCAGATTTCCTAGCTATTTGTTTTAACTGGCGGGTTTGGTGGTTGTACCACGGTGCTAGTCTCCTATGTTTTAATAATTTCCTTTTTATAGGAGCGATAGAATCTAATGTTCTTCGTAGTGAGCCTGCAGCACTATCGACAAGATTATCAATTTCTGAAGGAATCTCCTCCTTAAATTTAGCTACAGCACTGTCAGATAGACATCTGCTGTAGGAAGTTTTGCCTAATGGCTTATAATCTAATAGTATGAATTCAAAAGTTATTAAATAATGGTCAGATAGGAAACATTATGTGGGAAGACTATTAAATGTTCAATATCAATGCCATATGATAGAACAAGGTCAAGAGTGTGATTAAAACAATGAGTTGGTTTATTTACACTCTGACAGAAGCCAATTGAGTCTATTAATGATATAAATGCATTACTAAGGCTGTCATTGTCAACATCCACATGAATATTAAAATCACCTACAATAATTACTTTATCTGATTTAAGGACTAAACTTGATAAAAACTCTGAGAATTCAGATATAAAATCAGAGTACGGTCCAGGAGCGCGGTACACTATAACAAATAGAACTGGCTGCAGTGTTTTCCAGTTTGGGTGAGAAAGACTAAGAACAAGGCTTTCAAATGAATTATAATTTAGTTTAGGTTTAGGGTCCATTAAAACGCTCGAATCATATATGGCTGCTACTCCACCTCCTCGGCCTGTGCCTCGAGGAATGTGAGTATTTATATGACGGGGGGGGGTGGATTCATTTAGGCTAACATACTCCTCGTGGGACAACCAGGTCTCAGTAAGACAAAGTAAATCAATATAATAATCTGATATTAATTCATTCACTAAAACAGCTTTAGAGGACAGAGACTTGATATTTAACAGCCCACATTTCATTCTCTTATTTTGTGCTACTGAGGAGTTGGTTTTAATTTTTATTAGATTTTTATGTTGAACTCCTCTTGTTTTTATTTCTTTAAATAATTTAGGTGGTCAGGGGACAGACACAGTCTCTATGGGGTTTTGGGTGGGTGACTGTTCTAAAGAAAGCACAGAGAAGTGTTTAAGACAGCAGCTCTGCTTCCTGGTCCTAACTCTGGACTGTCAGGTTTTAGAAATAAACTTCGCCATATTTCTAGATAAGAGAGCCGCTCCATCCAAAGTGGGATGGATGCCGTCTCTCCTAATCAGACCAGGTTTTCCCCAAAAAGGCTTCCAGTTATCAATGAAGCCCACATCGTTTGCTGGACACCACCTCGACAGCCAGCGGTGGAATGACGACATGCGGCTATACATGTCATCACTGGTCACATTGGGGAGGGGTCCAGAGAAAACTACGGAGTCCGACATTGTTTTAGCATAATTACACACCGACTCCACATTAATCTTAGTGACCTCCGATTGGCGTAAACGGGTGTCATTACCGCTGACGTGGATAACAATCTTACTGTATTTACGTTTATCTTTAGCCAGGAGTTTTAAATTTGATTCAGTGTCGCCCGCTCTGGCCCCAGGGATACATTTAACTATGGCCGCTGGCTTCACTAACTTCACGTTTCTGACTATGGAGCTGCCAATAACCGGAGTTGGTTCCTCAGCGGGTGTGTCGCTGAGTGGGGAAAATTATATTAGATTAGATATATTAGAAACATGAATGGGTTGGTGGTGACCTGTGGGCTTCAGTGTTTTAGTCTTCCTTCGCTCAGTCACCCAGCCTCCCTGTTTTCCCGGCTGCTCGGGATCTACTGGGGCAACTACCGGAGGAACTACCGGGGGAACTACCGGGGGAACTACCGGGGGATCTACAGAGCTCACAGAAGCTACCTTCGGTCGGACCGCACCGGCTGCTGGGGGCTGACTAACTATAGCGGCTAAAGATATCTCTGTGGTGCGGTGCCGTTCCTCTAACTCACTAAGCCTCGCCTCCAGCGCAGTAAATAAACTACATTTAATGCAAGAACCATTATCTTTAAAGGATGCAGAGGAATAACTGAACATCTGGCACACTGAGCAGGACAGAGGAGAGGGAGAGGGAGAAGCCATAGCTAACTGCTAATGCTAATGAAGCTAGCGTGTATGAAAAACTTTTGAAAATAGCGAAAAGTCGCTAAAAGTTGTTTAGGTAGAACTAGTATACGTATAATCGTTAAGCTGGAAAATAACCGCTGTAACAAGTAAAACAAATTTATATTTAGCGTTCACTGACAGAGCTACAGCACCAAACAGTGTACACAGAGCAGGAAGTGAACCGGGAATGAGTCAGTACGCTTACCGTAGCACGTAGATCCAACTATCATTTTCACTACCTCATCACACTTCATATTTTCTTATTGTTTGGATGTGAGAGGCCCCCTAGTGGCAGAAACTACAGATTGTACCTTTTAAGGCATTCAGACTAGAGTAGGAGGGTCATCAGTATCCTGGGAAAAAATGGCGAAGCTGCTGGGAAGTAGCAGATCTAATAAATTATGTAGTTTCTGATCATTGCACACTTGCCGATAGCACATTTTAGGCAGAATCGGAACAACTTTAAATATCTGCCTTAATCTTGAATGTCTTCTTCTTTTTAATTCCTGAAAACTTAACATTGAAATCAAACTATGAGTTTAACTTCTCTGTTCTGTCTTTACAGTAAAAGAAGATGAATTACTCACAGGACAACCTGATGTTCACCCAATCAGAATACAACTCAAACACTGATGACTACAACAACTCTGTGACACCGACTCCCGACTATGATGTGTCAGCACCTTGTTATCACCAGAAGAACCAGAGCCTTGGGGAGGTGATCGGTCCGTACGTCCACTCCATCATCTGCATCCTGGGCCTCGTGGGAAACAGCCTGGTAATCGTAACCTATGCCTTCTACAAGAGGACCAAGTCCATGACCGACGTGTACCTGCTCAATGTTGCCATCGCTGACCTGCTGTTCGTGATATCGCTGCCACTTATCGTCTACAATGAGCTGACGTCGTGGTCGATGGGGTTGGTGGCCTGCAAACTGCTGCGCGGCTCCTATAGTGTCAACCTGTACAGCGGCATGTTGCTGCTTGCCTGCATCAGCACTGACCGCTACATCGCCATCGTACAGGCCCGCCGCAGCTTCAGACTGCGCTCGCTGCCGTACAGCCGCCTCATCTGCGCCATTGTCTGGGCCACCGCCTTGCTGCTGTCTGTCCCGACGTTCTACTTCTACAGCCTGTACGAGCCGTCCCACAGCGAGTTCTTTTTCGACCAAGATTACGAACAAGAGACAACTTATAATACGTCTGAGTACGTTTGCGAGTTCTTGTTTAGTGACAACAACACGGCCTGGACGATCAAGGTGGCAGTCCCCAGCACCCAGATCGCCGTGGGCTTCTTCCTGCCACTCCTCATTATGGTCTTCTGCTATACTGCTGTCATCGTCACCCTGCTGAGAGCCAAAAACTTCCAGCGGCACAAGGCGGTGCGTGTGGTGTTTGCTGTGGTGGCAGTGTTCATTGTCTGCCACCTGCCCTACAACCTCACGCTGCTCTACGACACTGCCTACATGTTCGAGCAGCAGTTGTGTGAAGAATCGGACACCCTGCAGGTAGTCAAAACGGTGACGCAGACCATCGCCTACCTGCACTGCTGCCTGAACCCGGTGCTGTACGCCTTCGTCGGGGTGAAGTTCAGGAACCACTTCCGGAGGATCGTCCAGGACCTGTGGTGTCTGGGGAAGAAGTACATCGCCCCGCGCCGCTTCTCCAGGGTCACCTCCGAGATGTACGTGTCCACTCGCCGCTCGGTGGACGGATCCAGTGACAACGGCTCGTCTTTTACCATGTGAGGACACCCGGCGGGTTCGTCTGCAAATCCTGAACCCTGAAGGTCTGAGGAGCTCAGGAAGAGACTTGAGTCTGTAAATCACTGTGCAATCGTGTTGCTTTAAGTTCTGATTCTCAGTTGTCTCAACATAAATCTCAGGGGTTAAGATGATTTAATGATCTGCTGCACCAGTTCTATCCGTCTTTCTTTTCTATCAGTTTTGTTTTAGGGGCTAAACCTGTCGAAACAACCTGAGAAGGAAACGTCGCTCTTTCTCTGAACTGATTGAAAGAGTTCATGAAGTTTGGTTAGCAGCTGTTTTTCAGAAGGACTTTAGGGCCCCTGGTCTGAGATTTGTTCTGCATAACCTCTTAGAAATGATGTCTACATACTAACTGGTTCTGGTTCTGTCTGGATTGGGTTCATGTGTGAATTGAATTTAATCATTCATGAATTATTTAGAGAAACTAGAATCTATTTTTGTTTTTTCTTTTTCCAGCAGTTTCATTGCAAAAAAATCTTAAAAACTGAAAAACTACTACTAAAAAAAACATTTTAGTTTAAAGTCCGGGATGGACTGGCTGATCAGATATTCATATATATATTCAGAGATATGAATATAATAAGGATTCAGTATTTCTGGTTGTGTGGAATGACCTTTAACACGTAATGAAATATAATAAAACATCAAATATTCTAATAATTCAAATTATTTTCAGAAGATATTTTCATTCTTTAAGCATTGAGCTCTTTAACTGCAGCTTCACTTTAATCTGATTAAAACCTGCTGAGTATAAACTTCTGGAGGCGGATCAGTGGATTTAATACTGACCTCTCGGTGACCTCCAGATTCCACTTCCTGTTCCTGTGAGTTTTATTTTATAGGATTGCTGAATGTAATTTTTCTGTACTTACTGGCTGCTTCCTGCTCTGTTTATTATACAATAAATGCCTCCATCCACAATCATTGTTGATTTAATGAAGACGTCTCACTCTGTCACAAAAAAGTTGGTTAAAACTTTAGTTTCAAATTGTGCCATTGTTTATTTTGGTTCCTGAACGCTCCATGGTTGTTTTAACGCTTTTAAAAGATGGTATATATTTATTTTGGTAGTTCCCATGTGAACACAGAAAGGTCCGACATCCTTTCAGTAATTACAGATAAAATGCAGACTGTTCAGTTGCTGCTCTGCTGCCCCCCAGTGGACAAAACACAAATAAATCAATGAATGCAGCTTTAAGTAGATTTGATTTCACCTTCATGGGTTTGAAATACAGCTGCAGTGAACAAATATTATGTTTTATTTTTACAGATTATTATAAAGCTCGGTTTTAGAATATTCTAAGTAGTACAATTCAAGTTTTTAACGATCCTCCAGCCAAAACTATTCATCATAAATGGACATTTTACTGAAACGTACATCCCTGATGTTCTCGCAGAGAGGACACAAAACAAAACCTCACAACAGACAGTCTATCCTACTGTCTCTAATGGTTCCTAAACACAACACTGTCAGACTCATAGGTTCATACGAGTGAACACAACATGAAAGGAGGGAACAATATCAGTCTGTACAGTCAGCATACAGACGGTTAACAACCACACAGTCGTACACTGGTTTCATAAAGATCTTCATACACAGACTACAGAGGACAGCTGACGGTGCTGCAATGTTGGACTCTGCCGCTCACCCACCTGACTCACATGATTCCTCCTGAAGGTTCAATATCCTTATTGAATATTTAACTGTTTACCACCAGGAAACACATTAACACTGTAGTTCTATATTCACCAACAACCTCCTTTAGTGAATAGAAACATAAGCCTGTTTATTATTTACATTATACAATTATATATATATATAATGTCCAACCCTGTTACTGTTCTTTATTAAGCAGCCAGTAGATGTGACGTTGTGAGTTTTACAGTGTTGAGAAGCAGGTTGAGAGTTTCCTAACAGAGAGGAAGGAAACAGTTTAACGTCTGAAGAACCGTCGTCCTCAGACTGAGTCTGAGGATGTAATGTACTGTATGTATATATCTACAATCTATATGTATATATATAGACTGTATACAGGAAACTCTTATTAGAACTGCTGGTGATGAGATTAAAGCTCCAGTGTGTCACATTAATATATTAGGTATGTTTTCATTAGTGTATAATCACCTGGATATAAGACTCGTGTGTTTGTTTCCTTAGAATGAGACGTTTTTATCTACAGAGGGAGCGGCTCCTCTTCTGGTGGAGTCCATGTTTCTACAGTGGCCCAGAAGGGACATGAAGGTGCATATTGATTATAACTTAAAAAACATAAAACAATGGGCGCCCAGTTAGCTCAGTCGGAAGAGCTGGCAACCCATATGCGGAGTTGCTGCAGCGGCCCAGGTTCAAATCCAACCTCTGCTGCGTGTCATCCCCCTCTCTCCACCCCCCCCCGCCCATCCTCAGCTGTCCCTCTCAAACAAAGCAAGACCCCAGCTTCCCCCACCCTTATTTTTTTTTTGTTTCCATCAACAGCTGCAGATAAACTCGATGCAATTATATCACTTTGTTTATTTACGGTGGCTGGAGGACAAAAAAAACAAACACATTAAAATATATGTGTATATATATACATACATAATACATATATATGTATATATATTGTCAAGTAATTACCTATTAAAACACAGACAGCATCTTAAATAACAAAAAACCAAAAGCTGTATAATGATTGAAGTTGAATCTAAGTATAAATGCATAGTAGTAAGATCGAACTATGGAACACAAGGTCAAGAGAGCAAATCATGTTGAAGTGTTGTAACTAGGTGAAAAGGCCTGGTTGCAACCAGACATGTCTGGTACAGAGAGAACGGGGAAGTTGAGCACACACAGCGGACACACATCTTGTTAAGTTGAGCGCACATAGAGGACCATCTTGTGAAGAGCAAAAGAGGAAGTAGCACGGCCCCAAACCGAACACCCTAGGGGGATAAAAGGGGCTACACAAGGAGGATCGTGGTTAGTCTTCGGCCGGCTCTCGGGTTCAAGACTTGCTGATCGATCGGCCACATCGGAGCAACTCATCTTTGAACTAAGAATTTCAACTCAAGAGACAAAGCAACGAACAAGCCATCATCGCAGAAAGAGAAGTCCAACAACATACAGTCGAGACGGGAGCGGCGGGCAGAGGAGGATTAACCAGCTCCACCCGGCTTTAGGTTCCAATTAATCACCAAGAGCAGCATCCAACAGTACGGCAGGCGAGGAAGAACTGTATCGGCCGGTACACCTCTTCCCTCTCTCTCTACAAGCTGGACATTCGAACATTCAGCAACAAGCCTTTTCATCAGGGGTTTGAAATTTAAACAATTACTTACTTAACGTTAGAAACCTAGTTAATCATTATTAGTGAATGTGAACAATCAGTTTTTGAATCAGTTTTCGCTGTATGCTTGCCCTTGGTAAATCTTGCAATAAAAATATCCATTGAAGTTAAAGAATAAATTGTCATTGGATTTATGATATCTCATCAGGCAGTAATTATTAGGTAGTGTGTTCATAAACTTAACGGTTCTAACAGATTACTCTAGCCAAAGAAATTAAACAGACCCTTGGGGCTTACTGTACAAGCCCCTAAAATAATCCTAGCAACTAAGAAGTGCACAGGTCAATAAGAGGAGAGCTGCCGTTAACGAACGTGACTAGTGCAGTATTTGGCCCTAGGGCTATTCGGTCAGGTGCTGCACTAGAGTGAGCAGGGTAGGCGTTCGGAAGAAGGCAGTTAGAAGCTAGGCGTGTCTCCTCACCACCAGCTTAAATAGTCCTTTTAACCTAGTAGGGTAACACTCATAGGTAAGAGGCTCGGACCCTTTATAACGGAGAGCTGGTCCAGTACCACCTATACGGGGGTAACTTGGGATCCAACAATATATACATATATATACATATATATGTATATATATATATATAAACTGACCAGAACAACATAAAATAAAATAAAATAAAAGATAAAAGATTCAATCTCTATTTCTGCTCATATTCATTATTGCTTTATATTTATACGTCGTTTACTGGTGTCGGTGTCTTTACTGGTTTTTAAATGTTCTGTATTACTCAGGTTGTGGTTTCCACGACCCGCCCGGAGGAGCAGATACAGTCGTTGAGTTTAGAGGCCTCCAGCAGAACGACAGTCTCTCCTCCACTTCCTGTTTCCTCAAATCAAACCCACAGAAACATTTGACCATCATCTGCAAATCCATGAACGAGGGACGAGGTTCCACTAAAGCTCTGAGCTCTGATTTCTCCTGCACTGAAACAGCGTTTTAATAATGATAATGTTGTATAATTACATAATAAATACAGATAAATATTATTAGAATAAAGTTGTTTCTCACACTGATTGTGATTGAATTTGTTTTTATTGAATCTTTATGTTCAGTATCAGCTGGACTGACCTGAATGTGTTCACTGTAAACATCTTTTTAAAAACAGCTAATGATCCTGCAGTAGCTGATGCGTTCATTATTATAATAATATAATATAATATAATAATATGTGAATGGTAGCTTTATTATGAAATGTTACTTCCTGTTCTCAGCAGACGGTTTTAGTTGTAGACGAGGAAGAAGATGAAGATGAAGCTGCTGCAGGAAGACAACAGAGGACTCAGTTTGACCTTCAGAGAGAACAGATGGACCTGCTCTGTGTGTGTGTGTGTGTGTGTGTGTGTGTGTGTGTGTGTGTGTGTGTGTGTGGTGTGTTCAGGGACCCAGAGTCACCAGTGAGCAGTTCTCTGTACAGCTGAGTGTTAAAGGAACACTCCTCTGTTTAATGTTAATTATCTTTATTATATTTAATTATTAACTCACTGTAGAATCAATCTGACGGATGTTTTCTTTAATCCGTCTGAGTTTATTATTTGTTTCAGTTCTTTATAACTTCAGATTACAGATGTTTTATTAAGGTATTGAAATATTGTTTTTCTCACAGAACTGCAAAAGTTACGACTAAAATTGGAACTTTATCTGAAAATATTAAAAGTTATTATCAGTAAAATTATGACTTTATATTTTACAGTTTTTTACAGTAAAGTTACAAATTAATTTGTATATATCAACTTTTTCTTGTACATTTACCACTTTATGTAAAAAATATTATAACTTTTGAATTGTCTAAAAGCTAGATTTACAAACTACATGTTTCAGACTTTGTTCCTGTAAAAGTGTAATTTTATCTGCTAATATTTTATTTGGATTCTCTTAATAAACAAATAGTTTCTAATAAATATTTCTTATAAAATATATAACATATGATGCATCGTTATAACTGAACCTCAGCAGTAATAAAGTGGAAGAGTTCTTTTACAGGAAATATTTTTATTACTGAAGTTAAATATTCTGCTCCAAGTTTCCACGGTAACGCTTTCTTTAACAGTTATTTCTGCTTTCTAATGAAAAACATCCCAGAATTCCCGGCGGGCCTGTTTCCTCGGAGGGAACAAAGATCCGGTTGTTGGACAGAAGAATCCGGTTCATGGGACGGAGGTCGTCGCTGCGTCATGCTGCGCTCTCATTGGTCAAATGAACTGTTGATCCTTTAGTTCTGTTTGTACTCTCTGCTGTAATCGGATTACTCTCAGACATACTCACACTGTGTCTGTAAATAATGTCTCACTATCTTCGTCCTCTCTCGTTCCAGAAGCTCGTCAATGAGACGCACTGTTCTTCAGTACCGACACAGACTGACGCTCACTGATACACCAACACACCAAATGATGGATTCATCCACTGCTCAAAGTAGTTCCTATTCACAGTGTTACTCCCAGCTCTCAGGGTTATAATACTTCACTGAAACTCAACTCAACTCAAACTGGGTGAAGATACTAAAACTACACTTTAGAAATATTATTGTGTAATAATCTGTAAAATATACAAATAAACAGGAAATGTCAATTTAGGGTCAAAACAACAAACAATTTTACTGAGTTCATAATTTAATTCCTGAACTTCTTCAATCTGCCCTGAACACAGAAACTTATAAAAACTAAACTGAAACAAACCAACAAACAAACAAACAAACACCATAAACTGAAAACAAAAAAAAAGTATAAAAACATTTGAAGTAAACTTTTGTTTTAAGTTCATTAAATGTAGTTGTTTTAATATAGATATATATATAGAGAGAGATTTAATATCAATGTGAATAATTAAAATAGTATTATGTTAATTATGTTCTTGTTAAATACAATAAAATCAATAAAATATTAAATATTGATGACCTGTGGGCAGGGGGCGGGGCCAGAACAACCTGGACCAGGAGATGATGATGTCATGTGTGTTTGTTTTACCTGGTGATGGAGGTCGGGTGGGCGGGGTTTAAGTTTACACAGCTTTTAACAATGTTTTTGCGTGTGTGTGTGTGTGTGTGTGTGTGTGTGTGTGTGTGTGTGTCTCTCTGTGTGTGTAATAAACTCTGAGCTGCAGGAATCAAAGGTATTTTTACTTAATATATAAACTTAATAACTTAATAAACACACGTTTGTAGTTTTTCCATATTATTTGTGTGACCTCATCAATATAATGTTTGCAGCTTATTAAAGTTGATCTAATCAATAAATTAGAGGTTTAATCTTGCAGCCGTTTATTAATTCCAATAAATCCACTGAATAACTTTTTACAGTAAACAAACAAACAGTTATAGCTGATGACAAACAATGAAACAATAGATATATTGATTAATGTCACAGTCTGTATAACAACGTCATACAATCATTGATTGACAACCAGGATCAATTCTGGGTTATTTAATAGCTATTAACAACATTTTATAACTTTATAGGATAAAACTGATCAAAATAAACTCATTTATTGTAGATCAATTAAATTCATTACAATCAAATGCAACATTTCACTAACTGAATTAAAACGTGTGAACAGAATTGATCTAAAATCACTTTAATAAAAACAGCTGATGAAACCTATAATAATCGATTATTAGAAAGGCAGCCAATTAACTTTCATGTTTGTGATGATGTAAAGTCAACTTAAAGAAAATGAGTCAGTGGAACAAACTGCAATGAATGAATGAATGAATGAACGAATGAATGAATGAATGAATGAAAATAGTGCACAAACTGTTAATTTTGACTTTAATTAATCAGAATGAGACTGAACTGTTGAGTCATTCTGTTTAAGGCTCAGGGAGTAACAGATTACATGTAACTGAGTAATCAGGATACAAAAAAAGGTAACTGTAATCCATTACAGTTGCAGAACTAAAGATGTAATCAGATTACAGTTACATTGTTCTGTCTAATAGAAGAGATCAATACTGATTATTGATTTTTATTCACATATTTGGTGTTGAGGTAATCCAACAGTAACAGGAAGTAATCAAATTACTCTAATATTCTGATACTTGGATTACTGACTGTAACTGTAATCAGATTACATTCCAACCCTGGCAGTTGGTTTTCAATAATCTCAATAATCAATAATCGATAATCTGATTTCATGCAGCAGCAGCAGCAGAAAAGTTTGAAAGAAAAAGGCACCACAGTCTGTGATCTCAGTCCCGGACCCGGACTGGACCCGGACTCTCCCGGGTTGGATCATCAGTCCCGGTCCAGTGAGAGGACGAACGGCTCCAGGGCTCCTCTGGCGTCCGCGGGGGAGGGCAGGACCTCCGGCAGGAACCCCTCCCGGTCCTCCCGGACCTCGAACTGCAGCGTCTGGCTCCGGTTGACGCAATAGATCCGGTCCCCGAGCACCGCGCACCGGAACGGCTGCGGGTTGTGGAGCGGGAAGGACGCGCCGCCGTGCCACACCTTCACCACCGTGTTGTACTTGTACACGCTCACCCCCGCGCGCTCCCGGTCCACGTCGAAGCGGTACACGAGGCTGCGGTGCGCCACCATGTCCGCGGACCGGCGCCGGCTCTCGTTGAACGGACACTCCTCCCACTCGTCCCGGCGGGAGTCGTAGCGCAGCAGCCGGTAGAAGAGCGAGCCTCCGGACACAAACAGCTCCCCGCCGCACGACGTCGCCTCGTGCGCAACCGCGAACGAGCCTTTGGGGAGGGGGGCCACCGGAGACCACCTGTCCGCGCGCGGGTCGTAGCGCTCCACGGTGAACAGACACTCCCCCCCGACGGCGTACAGGTACCCGTCCATGGAGACCAGTCTGAGCTGGCAGCGGGGCTGGCTCAGCGGGCGGATCTGGCTCCAGGCTCCGGTCAGCGGGTTGTAGCAGAAGACCCGGTCCGAGGCTTTGTGCGCCCTCATCCCTCCCGCCACGAACAGGTAGTTGTACAGAGTACACATCCCGGAGCCTTTGGCCGGGATCTGCTCCGGGAGGCTGGTCAGCAGCTCCCACTGCCGGCGCTCCGGGTGGAAGTAGAACACCCGCCGGGGGTTGGCGTCCTCCGGGCCGGGCTGCAGGGGGCTCTGCGGCCGGCTGCTCTCCCGGCTTCCCCCGCGGTCCAACACCTCGCTGCTCTCGGCCACCGCCAGCACCTTCCTGCCCTCCATCCTCCGGGCCAGGATGAGCTCCCGCTCCCCCGCCGTCAGCCGGCCGTACACCCCGGGGGTCCTCAGCACCTGCAGGTAGTTGTGGCTCATGTAGCGGTAGACCCGGTCCCGGTCGCCCTCCGCGCCGCCGCTCTTCGCTGCGCTCAGCAGCTCGTAGCAGTTCTCTGCGCTGATCTGTGGCGGTTCTGCAGCTGGGGATCCGAGCTGTGAACAAAGACCCCCGGAGGATCTGTCGGACTCCGAACCCTCACTGGCCTCCATCTGTTGCGGACTGGTTGCGGATCAGATCGATCCTGGTTCTGTCTGAGAATATTATGCGTCTGCAGATCCAGACCACAATGAACGCCCCTTCCTCCCCTCCTTTATTCTCTGTTGCTTCAAGTTTTCCTTCCTCGTCGTAGACCAGATCCTCCTCTTAGACCAGAACTCGTGTCATAAACGTCCCTTCCGGGCCTCCATCCTCCGCTCCTCCAGCGGGGCGCGGCGGCTGATGAAGCCGGGTTTCACCGCCTGTCGTGTTGGGAGGTTCGCTGCGTCCTCCCGCTGCAGAGCCCGGAGGTGTCTGCGGACACAAAGGCGCTGAGTGGCCGCCGGACCCTCCTCCTCTCTGGGCTCCGTGCTGGAGCCGACGCCCCTCTGACTCCGCAGGAACAACGAGTCTCTGCAGAACCGGAACCAGAACCCTCAGTGGTTCTGGAAGCAGTAAAGGAGCACTGTGAATAATATAAAGTATATGAATGGATTATAATTAATGTGTTCATCACTTTAATGTGGCAACAGGAGCTAATCAATAATAATACATTTATTATTGATTATATATTTTTTTTCTCTCAGAAGTGTTTTTACTGGAGATGAAGGTACAAATATATATAAAATATATATATTATCCACAAACAACAAATATCTTCTTATTTTATATTTAGGGAAAGACAAACACACAAACAAACAAACAAACAACAGAACAACAACAACAACAACATGTATTTGATATATTGATCTCTGAACAGAAAGTGCAGTATCTGAGTTAAAGTACTTAGTTACATTCTACCACCTGCTGTACTTTCCTTCATTAAATGTTAATCAGGGCGGCTGTGACTCAGGAGGTTTCGGGTTCGATTCCCTCCTGCTGCAGGTTGAAGTGCCCTTGAGCAAAATACTGAACCTCAACCCGAGAGAGAGAGAGAGAGAGAGAGAGAGAGAGAGAGAGAGAGAGAGAGAGAGAGAGACAGGGAGAGAGAGACTGTCTCACTATACAGGTTCATTTTGATTGTTTTCTTTTTTGATGCGTTCATTTCATATAAGCTGTTGGAATATTCAGGGTCTCCACTCCTCAACCTTTGAGCTGAAGAGTGGAAATGAGTTCATGAAATCTACACAGTAAATTTGGAAGTGTTAATTCAACTCCCTGGGAGTTAAATTCAACACTTTCAAAGTGTCTATATTGGTCCACTGTAGATCGAGTTAAAACAACACTTTTGAAAGTGTTGAACAGTTAACACTGTGACAGAGTTGGAACAACACTCTCAATAGTTAAAATTTAACACACATCAGTGTTGAATTTACCTAACACTAGTGTGCAGTGTCAAAAGTTAACACTATCAGTGTGTTTTTTAACACTGAATAAGATTCAAATGATATTAACACTGTGGAGATAAATCTTTTATAGTTGATTTCATTTTAAAAATACTACTGGGGGTCAATTAATAATTCCCAATTTCAATACCAAAAACAATACATGCCACTTGAATTTACAAAGAAAAGTTGCAGTCTGAATCAACCTGTATTTCAAACAAGCACACCACATAAAAAACAGCAAAGATGTTGATATCATTGTATTGGAGTCATGGAGTTCCACAAGGTTCTGTACTTGGACCAATATTATTTACTTTATATCCCTTTAGGCAACATTATTAGGGATCACTCCATTAACTTTCACTGTTATGCAGATGATACGCAGTTATATCTATCGATCAAGCCCGATGAAATTAATCAATTATCTAAATTACAAACATGTCATAAACATGTGATCTCAGTCCCGGACATAAAATCCTGGATGAGCTGCAATTTTCTGATGTTAAACTCAGAAAAAAACGAAATTCTTGTTCTTGGCCCCAAAAACCTTAGAGACTCACTGTCTAAAGATATAGTTACTCTAGATGGCATTACCTTGGCCTCTAGCACCACTGTCAGGAATCTTGGAGTTATCTTTGATCAGGATTTGTCTTTTAACTCCCACATGAAGCAAACCTCTAGGACTGCCTTCTTTCATTTACGTAATATTACAAAAATTAGACACATATTATCACAGACAGATGCAGAAAAACTAATCCATGCATTTGTTACTTCAAGGCTGGATTACTGCAACTCCTTATTATCAGGTTGCCCCAATAAGTCCATTAAAACGCTCCAATTAATTCAGAACGCTGCAGCACGAGTACTGACAGGAACTAGAAAAAGAGATCACATCTCTCCTGTACTAGCTTCTCTGCACTGGCTCCCTGTAAAATGTAGAATAGATTTTAAAATCCTCCTCCTCACCTATAAAGCTCTTCATGGTCAGGCCCCTTCATATCTTAAAGAGCTCATAGTACCCTATTACCCCACTAGAACACTACGTTCTCTGAATGCTGGGCTACTTGTGGTTCCTATAGTCTCTAAAAGTAGAACAGGAGCCAGAGCCTTCAGTTACCAAGCTCCTCTCCTGTGGAACCAGCTTCCAGTTGTGGTTCGGGAGGCAGACACCCTCACCACATTCAAGAGTAGGCTTAAGACATTCCTCTTTGATAAAGCTTATAGTTAGGGTGGATCAGGTGAGTCCTGAACCATCCCTTAGTTATCTGCTATAGGCCTAGACTATCGGGGATTTCCCATGGTGCACTGAGTTCCTCTCTTCCTCTCTCTTTCTGCACTCATTCATGTTCCATTAATGCATGTTACTAACTCCACTTCTTCCCCGGAGTTCTTGTGCTTTCTCGTCTCGCAGGTTCTTATCGATCCTGGTGGAGCCTCCTGCCATGGTCCTGCTAGATTGCCATTACCAATACTGCTGTTGCTGTGCACCTGTCTGTCTGTCTGTCTGTCTCTCTCTCTCTCTCTCTCTCTCTCTCTCTGTCTCTCTCTCTCTCACCCCAACTGGTCGAGACAGACGACCACCCACCTAGAGCCGAAGGATCTGTCCTAGGTTTCTGCCTTTTAACAGGCAGTGTTTCCTTGCCCTTGTCGCCAAGGTCTTGCTCATGGTGGTACTGTTGGGTCTCTGTAAATAATGTTATAAATAGTTCGATCTAGACCTACTCTATTTGAAAAGTGTCCTGAGATAACTTCTGTTATGAATTGGTGCTATACAAATGAAATAAATTGAATTGAATTGAATTGAATTGACAGAAACATGGTGTCAAGATGATTTGCTCACTCACTTTCCCCCAGGATATAATGAAGTCATGGTGCCCTCCATAAAACTAAAAAACATGCGTAAGGGCAGAACATCGGGGGGGATTTTGGTGTGGTATAAAGGAGATCTTTGCAATCAGATCTCACCAGTAAAACAGGGTAAATCGCACATTTGGTTGAGGTTAGATCAAACCCTAGGCATAACCGATAGGGATCTATACCTCTGTGCAATTTACATACCCCCAGTGGATTCTCCTTATTTTGAAGAGGACATTTTTGACACCCTAAATTCAGAAATCACCTATTTCCAGGCCCAGGGAAATATACTTCTAACTGGAGATCTGAATGGATGTACAGGAATTGAACCTGATATCATTGACACACAGGGCAACAACCATGTATTCGGTCAGCCCCCGTTTACCACACCAAACGTCACCAGTTGGAATAAACTTGACTCAATATTAAATCAAAGTGGCAGGGAGATCTCTGTCGGGCCTTAGGCCTGTACATAGTTAATGGTAGGTTCAGAGGGGACTCTTTAGGGAGGTTCAGCTCTTGGGTCTAGTGTTGTAGACTATGCAATCACTGACATGGACCCCTCAACTATCAGTGCATTCACTGTCAGACAGCAATCCCCCCTTTCAGACCACAACCAAATTAATGTGTTCTTTAAATTGTCAGGTCAAATTAGTAACACAAAAAGGGAACCCAGTAAGCTGTATAAATTAAATTCTTCTTACAGATGGGCCCCAGACAGTGGAGACAAATTCATCAAGGCTTTAAACTCCCCTGATCTGATGAATTACAAATCAATATATACTCAAAATCAATATGTCCCTACCAGAGATGGGGTAAAAAGGCAGCTATTAGGGCTGACCTCATAAAGCAAAGACGGAGACCTGTTAAAAGGCAAAATACTGACAAATCAAGATCAAGAATGCAAAAAATAAAAATAAAAAATCAGAAAAGAGCTGAGAAAAATAGCAAATGAGAAACATCGCCAACCGAACAACCCAGCCCTGCGCATTCGATACAATGACATTTTAAATACATATAAATACACAATTAGGATAAAAAAAACTACATTATACCCAATTGAAACTTGAAGATACTGAGAATGCCATTAACCAAAATCAATTCTGGGATATGTGGAACAAGTTCAACACAAAGCAACAGCAGACATTACCCATCCAAAACGGTGACATCTGGAGATCACATTTTGAAAATCTGTACAAAGACATACCAATCAATCAAATTCATTCAGATTAGTGTATTATGAAAGAAAAACTCCAAAAATTAGAAGAAACAATTAAAGACAACCAAAACCCCCTTGATTTCGAAATTACTTGGGAAGTAATAACCACACAGACAAAATGTCTGAAGCCAAGGAAAGCTTGTGGTCCAGACAGCATTAGAAACAAAATGCTCAAAAGCAGCACCCCAGAAATGCAGGGTGCCATATTACATTTGTTCAATGTTATACTACAGGCAGGAGGTTTTCCCAACATCTGGTGCAAAGGGCTCATTTCCCCCATTCATAAGAGTGGGGACAAATCAGACCCTAATAACTACCGTGGCATCTGTGTCAGCAGCTGTCTATGTAAACTATTCTGTAGTATTCTTAATACAAGAATACTAGATTTCCTTGAGGAACAGTTAATCTTAAGTAAAAGTCAGATTGGCTTCCTCCCAAAACACCACACCACCGACAGTGTATATACCCTTCATACTTTAATCAACAAACATGTACAACAAACTAAGAATGGAAAAATATTCACCTGCTTTATTGATTTCAAGAAAGCTTTGGACTCTATTTGGCATGAAGGGCTCTATTACAGACTTTTAAACTGTGGTATAGGTGGCAAAATGTCTGATCTGGTTAAATCGATGTATTTGGAAAACGTGTGCTGTTAAAATTGGAGACAAACTAACTGATTTCTTCCCCCAGAGAAGAGGCGTTTGGCAGGGTTGCAAATCTAAGTCCGACTTTATTTAATGTGTATATAAATGAACTGGCTGTTGAGTTAGATAAATGTGCTGCTCCGGGCCTCTCCCTCCTAGATAGAGAGGTAAAGTCTCTGTTTTATGCTGATGACCTTGTTCTACTGTCTCCTACTGAACAAGGACTACAGCTACAGCTGGACGTAGTAGAAAAGTACTGTCAGAACTGGGCCCTGGCAGTAAACATGAAGAAAACCAATGTCATGATCTTTCAAAAACGCCCCAGGTGTCATGAGAACAAACACCAATTTACCATCAATAATCATGTCATTGAACACAGCATGAGTTATACCTACCTTGGTATAACCATAACAGCATCAG